GGATTCGCTCGAGAGCTTCGGCAGGGACGTTTCGGCCTTTGTCGTCGTTGGGCTAATCGCCGTCGTAAGTGTCGTCGTAGAAGCGCCAATCGACAGCGCGGATTCGTGGGCATTGATGGAACTAGACGACCAAGTGGTTATGGGGTATGGAGTCATGGAGTCCAATGATGGCAGGGAGAATTTTAATGAATCCAATGATACATCCGTGGTGGTGCACGCATATGGAGCTTGTGTGGTTGTGGTGGTAATGCTTTCTTCCTTTATATCTGAGGAAAAACTATGGCTATCTAATGTATAAGGCTTCAAATATTCAGATATGTCGAATGAGGATGTTTCCTTGGTCATAGCGCTTGTCGTTTGGTAGTCTGGCATTGGCAACGCTGGTTGAGATGGCAATGACTCGATCGAGATCGCTTCAGCTTTTGAAGCTTTTGTGGGAGACGCGATCTTGGATGGTAAATTCTGCTGATTCATGATGCTATATGGAAGTTCTTTTGTATCAGGTGGAAGTGATGCAGAAGGCGAAGATGTTGACCAGATGGCGGATTGCGCGACTGAAGCGGCTACCGTTGCATCAACGATTTGATTTTGATTCAATTGGTTATTGTTGTCAAGCCCATTCTTGTAGATATGGCTATGGCTATGGTCCAGACTATATAGACTATTGGCACTATCAGGCAATGTCGTAGCAGTTATGCTAGTGGTTTTTGTGATGCTGGTGATGTTGGTGGTGCCAACGGATGGAATGGATGACACCACCGTCGTTACCGTTAAACTAGCAGCTGTATCAGTTGTTGTTATTATTGTTGTTGTCGCAGCTACTCTACTGGATGTATGTACTAAATAGGTCGCAGGGTCTGGTGATGAATGAGGTGTTATTTCTAATTCTGATATTGATTCTGTTGTGGTGGTTGATGGTGGTTGTGCCAACGGTACGGGCCTAGTCACATTCATATCGGAACTCATTGAGGTCAAATTTGAATAGGTTTTGGTTTGATTTTGATGCTGATTCTGATACTGATTCTGCTGATGCGTGGGCAACTTGGGTAACTGTTTGGAGCGCACGCTCTTATCGAGTTGCGACATGCTCGAGGCGGTGGAGAGCGTTGGTGATGAGATAGCGGCTGTGGCTACCCCCGTTTGTTGCAACGGTGCTTTGTACTGTGGGGTCGGTAGACGTTTTGGCAATTTTCTAGCAGTGGTCGTCGCTGGGACCGCAGTGGCGGCTATCGCCGTGATTCCAGTATGCGGCAGTTCGGACCACTTGTCTGAAGCTATTGCAGTAGTATTGGTGTAGCCACTACGCATCTCGCAGCCGAAAGAGGAGGAGGTTATGTTCGTAATGTTCGTTCCAACAACAGATGCAATAGATGCAACAGATGCATTGGCACTCGGCACTGCCGACACTGATACTGGAGCGTTGCTCTCGGTTTTCTTGGAACGTTGCACCGGCACCCTTGTTTCTCCAGATGCTATCACAGATGCCGTTGTCATTGCCATCATTAATGAGATCTTACGCTGTTGCTGCAATTTGTGCTGCGCATTGGCCATCGGCGGTGTGTCACTGTATGTCGACAGATTGTCGGCATTGTAGCCGTAGTCTACATAGTCGCTGTAGTCGAGCGGCAGCATCGAGGTGTAGGGCCGCGACATTTGGCAATAGACATCGTAATTGCTGCTGGTCCCTGTCTCTGCACCCGTCATACTCAAGCTGCTGCGCAGAAACTCACCGTCCTGGCGGGCATCATGTCCAGCGTATACATCGCCAAACGCCGAGTGGGATGTATGGATGTTTGTGTTGGCATCTTCAAATAGCTGACGTTGTAGTGAGGAACGTGGTCGCGCGTGTGGCAGCATCCGCAGTGGCACCGCCGGAAGACATTTACCGCCGCCTACAATCTCATCTGCGCCACCAGCAGCCGTTGCATAACCAGCATGTCCATTCAGATTATTGTAGGCGTGAACATTCTGGTACGCAACCGCTTGTGGCAGCATGCGACACCTTGAATTATCTATGGGTGGTGCGGCAGGCAAACAGGCGCCAATGCGTTGGCCTCTTCTTGCGTTTGCGTACGTACCCTCCGGGTCACGACTCTCCATCATCGTCATGCCTCCTCCGCCATTCTGTTTCATCGGCAGCGTTGGCAGCATCTTCGCCGAGCTGGACGTGGACATGTAGCCGGGTAATGTGGCGCTATTATTTTTACTATTGATTGCCATCTCATTCTCATCCCAGTAGTCGCCTGCCATGCTCCCATAATCGTCCACATAGTCACGCTCATAGCTTTGATTGTAGGCTCCATCTATCGCCGGCACTTGTGCTCCATTATTCCAGTCGCTCTCCTCACCGCCGTACTGGCCCAGCCCCAGTCCCAGTCCCTGTTCCGGCATCGGCAACTCTGTGACTGTGGTACCGTACTCGTCGTAGGCGTACACATCCATTTGTGCGTCGTATGTATTACTACTACTGATCCTATAAGTCGTGCTGTTATTAATTGGTCGGCTGTCACTGGATAAGGCATCGTTTTTATTATTATAGATATAGTCGTCCCGCGCATAATACTGCAATAGAGAAACGACTATAAATATACTTCAGTTTTGGGATACGTGTCGGATATCCAGACAGCCTGACTCCCAACTCACCGTCATATTTCAATCTGTACCTTTAGCCCTTGGCTATTGTGTTGTTGTAATGCAAGCGTTTCGAAATGAAGCGTTCAATTTGCATCTTAAAGCGCTCTGGACATCAGAAAACTGCTAAAATACCTGTCGACGAAACGAAACACCACACTCTATATAAAAAATGTACATATGTATGTACATATGTACATATATACTTCCTAAATAGCATGGGACAAAATTTGAATGCATTTGTTGCCCTGTGGCTGCCTGGTTAGCTGTTCTGGTTACGTTCTAGGTTTTGCGGTCGTATTGCTCGTATACGTGTTTTTGTTGTGCTGCGTCCGGCCTGGTAGTGACAGTGCGACCATATAAACCATGTCAACTACACCAACACACACAAACACACATATCGCGAACACATGCATGTACAAAAAAAAAACATGCGGGAGAGTGAGCGCATTTTATTTCATGAGTTTGCGTCTGTGTCTGTGTGTATGTGAGTGCATGAAGAAGACACAATATCTAGAGAAGACCTTGGCCCAATATATTGTTGTTGTCGTTGTTTTTGGTGGTATGCCTCCCAAGTTTGTTCAGTAACAGTAACGCACACAGTGTCCAGCCAAATTAATTGAATGGTCGAAAGAAAAGAGGAAAAAGTGCAATACTCTTTCGCCTCCTTAACCCCTCCTTTGCCATAGAATCTCGAATGCCCAAAACAGACGCTTTCGCCTTCGAAAGTTTCAATGCCCATACACCCACCCACCCGCACACACACACACACACACAAACCTACAGCTACGTGTGTATGCTGGTATGCATGAGGGGCAAGGAGACACGCGTAGGTTTTTTTGAATTTTTGCTGCGATTTAACGAGCAGCATATGCTCCAAGCGTGCATCAAATGCTCAAATCAATAAAGCATACTGGTAAGCCTTTAAGTTAAAAGGACACAGAGGCTGAAGGAATCAATTGTTTAGAGATTTTGTAGTTTCAGTCCAAACTAAACAAACTCGCACCCAAACACAACCACAGGGTCATCGCAGAAAATATCTCATACATACATATGTATGTATTTACGTCAGTCATTAGAGAGTCATTAGAGTTGTAAAATAAACTCCTTTGCACATACATACGTGTATATACATACATAGATGCACACATACATACACATAGAGTGGGTTTCTGTGACGTTCAGTTCGTTCATTTTTCTTTGCGATTTGCTATGCTATTTTTGTTCAACTAATCCGTGGCACTGGCTTTCGTTTCGAACAGGCGCTCCACTGCTGTTTCCGATTGATTTGGCAAGGTTGCTGCTGCTTCTGGTTCTGCTGCTGCTGTGACTACTGCTTATGCTGCGGTTTTGGATGGCTTTATAATATTTCGATTCGTTTCGTTTTCTGTTTCCCGTTGCCGCGATTCTTAACTTTTTTTGGGAACGGCGCGTCTGCAGACGATGCCGAACACGACGAAAAGGTCACAGGATCAGCGGTTTATGCATTTTATGTGATTTAAAAAACGAAAGTTTATACGCGTTAAGCTTGGCATTGTCCAGAGCGAACGAAAAAAGGTTATTTTGTATTGTATAATTCTTTGTGTGTAGAAGTACGCGTGAGTACGGCGCCATCGAGCATGCGCAGGAGATGTCCCATACCATATGCAACGCGTGACGTGAAGCTGACATTTGTTCCAGGGTTGCCAGACCGCCTTGCCACAGATAGGACATTTAGTTGAGAGGCGTTGGCTATAACGGTTAACGGTTTGTGGCTAATGACAGTTACGAAGAGCCGAACCCGGCGCAATCATTATAACAGCTTGGAGCCGCCATTCGAGCAAATAGTAATAAAGGTTCTTCACAAAAATTATAGAACTACCTTTAAAATCGAATTAGAAAATGTATATACATAATATGTACACATCTATGCCAAATAATTTTAAAGTATAACGCGGGCGACCCTCTATCCCGATCTCCTTGCTGAGAGATGAAATAATAATAACAACCACAATGGTGCGATATAAGTTTTTGTTCACCTTTAAAAACTTTATATGTATTTAAAACTGATTTATCATTCTCATTAAATTACAAATAGATTGATAATCTCTTAGAGATACAAATATAAACGATTAGATAATTAAGTCTATCAAATGTGTATGATTACTTAGGGTTGGTTGGTTTTATTTTGCTTTAATAATAGAGTTCTCTTTCCGGGTCTATCATTTTGATCTACAGTACATTTCGAAACACGTCCATCCTTCGTTTGAGTAACAATTACGATGCAATTTTTTCTCTGTATTTAGGCTATACTTTTCATCCCTTGGCGAACTTGCGACTCTGATTTCTGCACAGTTCTGTAACATTGCCACCAACCAAGTACAACTGAATTTTCCTCCAGGTTTTCTTTTATTTTACACGTGCATGCACAGTTAGTTATACACTTGTTTATTATTGCATAGAGTGCGGGACCGCAATATCGATCGAGATAAGTCCGTAACAATGAAATGGTTTATATATTGTAGTAGAATATACATTCTCTGCTTCATACACCTCGCTCTCTGCATACTTCTTACTAATTACGTTACTCCAAAATTTGGGGTCGTGTTGTGTATCCCTATCTCCCTATGGCAGCTGTTTGCTGCTTTAGTGGGTCTCGTCACTGAATAATGAGTTGAAGAAAGGATTAAGGCTTTTGACGGCCACACCTGCACGGAAAGATTTTAGGACCACAGGCCCAAGTATATATTAGTAAATTATTAAAATTTTAATCACATTTAAGAAAGTACTTACCCTTGCCTGCTGACTGATCCTTGGAATCACGCCATTTGCAGAGCGACTCCTTCTGTATAACATCTCCATCGTAAAGTTCACCAAACAACTCACTTAACAAACCTATACCGAAAACGACATTTTGTGTTAATTTAAATATCGAACAATCGAGCAAATATGGGCATTTATGCCTCATATTACGTACCTCGGGGGTGTTCTAAACTATGCACCAGCAACTGCATGGAATATAGGCATTCTAGCTGATGTTCCTCATCTAAATCGATAAAGCGTTGGAAAACGGGTATGCAGAATTTTTGAAAGTTCTCTGTTTCTAATTTATATGTGTTCTCCTTGAACAAAATCGCAAAGTTGCTCAAAGTGTGGGTCAAACTGCGTATAAAAAGTTTATCGGCCGACACAATATTACCCTAAAAAGAATACATCAAAGAAGTTAATATAATGGTTTTGGTGGTGGATGACAACATTAAATGATGTAGTTTGCATTAAATCGTCTGCTTACATTACAATAATCAATTATACAGTCCGCCGTCGCTCCTTCCTTCAGCAAATGCTCAACATTTTCTATCACATTTTTAACGTGCTTCTCGTGTGACTCGCGTACTTCAATCAGTGGCCACTTCGATTCATTCTCCACATACTCTAAGTTCTGCGCAATTATAAACAAGCAAATAAATATATAATTCAAAGTAATTAAACAGAGAAAATAGATGTTACTTACATTGGTAGCAATAAAATCGTTGACTTCGTTATCGGGCATGAAATCACTCCAATGTAAATTGAATCTCTTCCACATGCTGCGCGTAAAGTTCGGTCCCACTTCCCGTGTGCAATAAGTCAAATAGGTTTTAAGGAACTTTTTGCCCATGTAGGGTGGACTACTGTCTTTCAGCTGCTTATTCCACAAATCCGCCACTGTCAAAATTTTCTTTACAATCAATGGACCTTTGAAAGAAACAATAATAATAAGTGTCAATCAATCCATCAGTTAATAAAAGGCAATTAATAATCATAGCATTATATTTGAAATTGAAAGCTTACCGGCAAATTGCAGAACATACAACCACAGTTCTGGAATATCTACAATTAAATCATTCACGATCTCACTAAATTCCTTATATGCCAGTCTAAAATGATCTAAAGACATGTAGTTCTGGTGGATGAGGTGGGCAACGGTTATGGCTAGATATCGCCTGTACTGTTTCCCCACATTCGCTAAATGCAAATAATCGGTTAGTATGTAGTACAAGAAACCGCAGCGATGTGCCTCCGGTATCCGTTCTATGCATGTTACAGTCGAGGGTGTGACCGTTTTTGAAGCTGCCGCAAGTTCCATCATCTCAGATAACACAGACTTGATGATTTTCAACTCGTTATCGCTCAACTCAGTAAAAACTGCTGGCGGCGGACTTGCTTTCGAATTATTTTGTACAGACTGTGAGGAGCTCGACTGATGGTCAAGACGGTACAAACCGCCCGCTGCTGGATTAGATACTGAACTCTGTGAATGAATCAAGTCGATTTATTACCACATTTTTCTCGGTGCCATCTTATCATTCTTAAAATACATACCTTTGCGGCAAGTCTGGCGGCAGGTGGAAACTGTGTCCCATATTTTGAGTGACTAGCAGATTTCTGAAGTGAAGTATTCATCATTCCGCGACCCTGTTGGCTGCCGCGTGAGGAAGAGTTCTCTCTTGAACCCTGAGACGACCCGGTTCTTGAGTTGATGCCTACGCATAACATATTAGAATTATGAAAATGATATCTATATTTAAGTAGCTGTTGAGTAACTTACCACGGTCACGATCACCATAGCGATCACGCTCCATAGAACCCTTGTTGTATGAGCCCTTGTTTTTGGGCCCACTGCGATCACGATCATTTCGATCGCGATCATTGCGATCCCGATCCCTGTCCGTACTGCTTTTATCAATCAACGAGGATAGCACCGCAAAGGAGTTGTTTGTTGGCTGGGCCACTCTCGCATTGTTGTTCCAAATAAACTGGTTAACGCCACCCATTTTCTTAGTATCAAAGTTTTGGTTGAGCTGCAAAGACTGCAATAACGAAAACAATTTAGCGTTATTTGCAAAGAATGATAATCATTAATTTCTGATTCTTACCAGTCCCTCCAACTTGTTGGTATCAACAGCTTGCGAACGGCTGCCTTTGCTTGTCTGTACGTGCCAGATGTTGTCGTCATTGTTTCCATTTGAGTGGCCGCTGTTACCGCCCTGCTGCTGATGACGCATGCTGCCTGAGTCTCCACGTTGACTGTGGCTGCCACCATAGCCGGAACGATTGTCGCCATAGCGACCGCCGCCACCGCCGCCGCCACCTCCTCCACGATCGTCTCTTTTGCCAGAGCCGACCTGCGGTCCATTGGGACCAGAAGTTGACATCGATCCGCTGTAATTCATGTACTGTGCAGATAGCTGCTCGTTCTTAGTTTCCTTCTCAATTTGACCCATGGTCTTGGGCGCCTCATTGCGCGTCGATTGCCACTTGTTTTTGCGCAGATCGATCACGTCTTGGAGCATGAAGCGCACCCTGGAGCTAACCTTAGCGCCATCTTTGTCTGTTTTGGATGCGATCGCCTGCATTCTAGCTATTGACTTTTCGAGTGAGTAGCAACGTCCCGGTTCCTTTGGATTCACCGGCGTCTGTTCGAATTTTGCACCCACTGTGGTGAGAAGTTTACACAGGCATTCCAACATGTCCTCCGAGTGTGGATTGAGCAATGTATCAATACATGAGTAAATAATTTTCCCAGTCAGCATGCCAATCTTGAAAAGCTCGCCAATGAAACGGACTGTGCCGCCGGATCGTCGACGTATCTTGCGCTCCTCTTCCTCCAATAGTGCCTCAAGTTCAGCCTTCTCATTAGGATCGGTGCATTTCTTAATTTTATCCACCATCGGTTGCAGTTTATTCTCCTTGGCCTTGCTCTGGGAAACGTTTTGTGTGAACTCGCGCTCCGTCTTATCGAGGAGAGCGTTGCGGAAGTGCGCCAAATTCGTTCTGGTGCCGCTCTCCATGCGCTCATCACGCGCCTTCACTTCAAAAATAAGGCGCTGGCAAAGCTTAGCATACGACACTGAAAAGTTTGGCTCGTCAATGGCCTTCTCGAACACTAACACTATTACATCATCCATCTTGTCGGGTGTGTCTATTTTCAATTTAATTATCTCCTCTACTAGCGTATCGAACTTCTCCGGTGTGAGCTTATTCAATATACCGCGCACACGACGCACCAAATCGTCCTTCTCCTGAGTTAATTTCGCATCGCTGAGACTCTCGCTCTCGCCTTTATTCAAGACGCGCGGACGCCACGCGTTCTCGGTTTCATTAAGCTTAACATCCTGGTTGAGCGAGAGATTTACATGTATCATCATGCCCTTGCTCATGCTGTTACGGCCTTGAACTCCAGACATGGAAAGCTGTTTGCCACCGAAATTGCCGGCAGATTCATTGCTGCGATTACCGCCAATCATGCCGACCATCGATGATGAGACACGCCCCTTTCCGTTGCGGGCAAACGTTGGCATCAGATTGGGTTGCGGCAATATTGAGGTATTGTTAACCTCGGGCTGGATGCGGGATGCCTTCGCCTCACGCAGCTGCAGCAATTGCTCCCGATCATATTGTTTTTTACCTGTCGGATTATTCGGTGACCATTGACCCTCATTGTAGCTTATCAGTGACTGAACTGCTTGATCTGTGGCCGTGGCTGCCGCCTCTGGCTCTGAGCTCTGGTCTGCCTGATCGGAAGCAGCAGAGGCAGTGTCGGGCGATACTGTACTGCTGCCATTTTCTTTAGCATTTTCCTTAGTTGCCATTGTCGCTGCTGGCAGCGATGTCGCTGATGTTGCTGCTGGTATTGCAGATGTGGCTGATGCTGCTTCTGCTGATGGTGGTATTGATGTTGCTGTTGTTGATGCCTTTGCTGTCTTGGTTATCGCCTCCAGGTTTGGATTCTGTGGCTCTGCCTGTGCCACGGCAGCACGATCAGTCTCATCAGGGGTGCTTTCGTGTGAGCTTAGCTGTGGTTCTGTGCTTTGGGAACGCGAATCTCCTCCAGCTCTAATATCAACTTGGTCGGAAGAAGTGTGGTCCGTTGTACAGACAGTTTGTTGCTGCTGCTGTTGACCCTCTGCTGCAGACGGCTCTGGCACTTTGCCGCTTGAGAGAGACGGCGTTACCGTTGTTGCTACAGATGCTGCTGCCGCTGTTGTTGTTGCAGTTGCCGCTATGTACTTTATGTCGGTTTCAGTTATGTGCATAATCCCCACGCTATCAGCCAGCACATTGACTGCATCGATGCTTTGCTGAGCCTTCGATGCGTTGGAGGTGGCGACAGAGGATGCGCCTGTTGTTGTCTCTATTCTGGTTACTGGTTTTGTTGATTTCGCCTCGTCTTGAGGCAATTGTGCCGCGGTTGCGCCTGCTGCTCTCAGTGGAGTCTTGGCCAACTCGATAGCTTGGTAAGAAGTACAAGCTTCCTCTTGCACTGCTGTCGATTGTGGAGGAGATTGCTGTTGTTGCTGTCGCGGCAACTTCTGTGGCTGCTGCTGTTGCTGTGGAACACAATCCGGCTGTATTTGCTGTTGTATAGTCTCGTTGGGGCTTCTAGTGACGACAGCTTGCGTGTCCGCAGAAGCATCATCCACTTTCACTATGGAATTAAAATGGAAATAATTTGTTTAGAATTTGTTGCCCATAAAATTGATAATGGCAGGACACCCATACAGATGCTTTTATATATAAACACACACATAAATGTAAATTATCTCTATAATGTAAAAGTTTGTTATTCATTTAAGCCACAGCTGAATTTGAATTTGATAAACAACAGAATGGAACAACAGAAGAACAGAGCTTCTAATTATATAGCATTAATCATTGGCTACAAATGTCGCTATAAGCGATATATGACGATTGTAGGTGTTGGCTCAGTTTGAGGCTCAGTCTGGTCTCTTAGTCGACGCGTCATTCCGCAATCGCAAATCGCGATTCGCGAATCGCAGCTCACAGCTCGCACGTTTCGACTACATATACATATGTATGTATGTATGTGTGCACATACTATATGTATGTATAGTATATGTATTCCTACATCCATAGGTGGCTGGCCGTGCAGAACCTAACCTCGAAGAGCGTCGCCTCTTCCCACAGAGTCCACCACCATCTCCTCTATGGACTCCGGGGTCAAATGCAATAACAAGCGTGGTGTTCTCGATCTCTGCTGGCAGGCATGTTTCTCTACGCAATATTATATTATTTATATACATATGCATATAAATGTACGTATGTTTTCCTTCTGCATATACCATATGTACCATATGTATAGGTATGTGTGTGTGTATGCACACACGTAGTATGTCTTGAAATATATTTTTACGTTTGTGCATATATACAACAAATACTTATATGCACATTATACACATATGTATGTAACATTTGCCACTTTTATTGCATGTGTTTTTTTCGTTGCCTCTTGTCTTTGAAACTATCACACAATCGGGTTAAGTAATGACGGCATACGGCATTAAAAAAATAAAATAAATAAATTTAAAAAAAAAATTAAAAAAAAAAAAACGAAACAATAAAAACAACAACATAGGAATGTGTCCATCACATAACAGAAAAAATGCACTATGTAATAAATTGAATAAACTAACTACCAATATGCAGACGCGTTCGGAGCGGTTAACGGTAACGTTAATCCTAAGCGTATTATATCTGAACTTTGCACACGTTTTTTAAAATTTCTTCGCCCATCGGACATGAGTCTGTCTGACCAATTGTTGCGCTGTTGCCTAGCGCTATAGATAGACAGATGATATCGAATCGCACAGAGCGGAGCACCAGCGCCACACACCACACACTAGCCACAGACACACACACACAAACCACCACCACCACGACAAAAAAATGATCAATTCACCGACGACACAATGAGACACAAAGCACGAATAACGCCGAGCCAGCCAGTAAGCGAGCGAGCGAGCGAGCGACCAACCGACCGGCTCCGTCAGCCGCCAGCTACACCTAGCAAAAGCGATCTTGAGCGATTTAAATGATCGAGCGAGCGACCGACCGACCGACCGAATAATATTCACAGCAGAGGCAAACAGAAAGACGGGCAAGTGACTAGCGCCAGCAATCAAAAAGCAAAAGTGAAAATGTGTGTGCACGCACACCACAAGAATACACAGTGGCATACACACACACACACACACACGCACACTCGCATACCACATAACCAGCCACATGGGCACATGCGACACACATGGATACACAGATAGACACACACACACATGAAGACATAGACGCAAGGTCTACGTCAGCACACACGCACTAACGATGCCAGAGATTGCAGAAATGCGAGTGGCAATGTGAAGTGGAAGTGGGAGTGGGAGAGGCAGCGAAAGACGAATTTTGTGAGCACAACCGCCAAATAATGAATGAACGAGCTGCCGAGCGAACGGAACGAACCACCACGAACGCTTACGATCTCACTTGATCGCATTCGCATTCACATTCCCATTCCCCAAATGTTGAGCGACCATGTGAACAAATAATACACAGTGGTGTTGAAAAATATTTGCACTTAGGAGCGAATATACGAACAGGTTACAGCAAACACACACACATATGTAAACAACAGTTCGGTTGCGAAAATGTGATAAGATGTTCTTCTATTATCTGTTTAGTATATAGTCATATTATGGTTAAAAATTTATTGGATTCCCCTTAATGAGCCCCCAATCAACCCTCCGGCAACCTTTCATAGATTGAGACCATAACTATGTTGGTTTTGTTACCAGAAGCTTATCTTAAAGCAAAATTAACTACTTATGAACACCTTTTTCTCGAAAACCGAGCGAATCCAAACAAGTGGAGAAGCTAAATTCGGGTGTCCCGACTTTGAAAACCTCTGTACATACATATGTATGTGTAGAATAATGCGCATTTGTGTGTGTCTGTGTAAGTTTCGTGTGCCTGTGCAAAGCAGCAACAACAACAGCTGCGGGCAGTGCTTGCCCTGAAATTATACAAGTATATGGCAATAACTTCCTGTTAAATCGGCCTATCATGATAAAACTTGGCATAGGAACTTATAATCACAAACTGAAAGTATTTGCCAAATTTAAAAATATTTTGAAAAATTCACAGAAATTCGGAGTTATGGAAAATTGCCGACTTCGGTGGAAGAGGGAAACGAAGGGAAATTCCAAAATACACATTTTCTGCGTATTTACATACATTTCGCGCAAACCTAGTATACTCTTGTACATTTCACGTACAGAGTATAAAAATGCGGGTATTAAAGTATGTAAGTCGACATGTAAGAAATATATCAACAAGCTCCTCGGATGAAAAGCTGTAAGCTGTTTCATAACTGTTCAGAATAAGTAATTAAATCAATTTTCAATTCATATCAAAATATTTACCAAATATGTACATATGTATTGAAAAATATATTGTCTGCTATAAGTGTGTGCAGTTTATTGCTATGCTAGTTTGAACTTTACAAACATCAATATAGATTGTACAGATTTCAACAACAGTGACGATAAGGCACACTGTAATGTACTATATATATTATATGATCAGCGATGTAAGAAGAATTAATATTGCTTATTTGCCTCTTCAACCGCATACTACATATAACTATCAGTACTTTTTGAATTTCAATTTAAAAACGCTATTAAAATGCACTGCATGTCCAAGTCCGATTTGTGAAAGAACTACGGAGAAAGTTTCCATTTCTTTTATGGTCCACAGAATACTTTAAAAAAATAAACAACGAATGGCAATGAAATCTCTGCCTTGGTTTCTAAAATTTGTAAACACATGCTATACATACATACATATGTATGTCGAACTCGATATAGACACAAATAAACAAAAGCTTGTAATAACATGACCCAATTTCTCACTTTGAGAATCGCGACGAAGGCTTCAAAATAAGGCTACATAAATACTCGTTTGTATGACACAGATATGTGATATTGCGTCCAATAATAAGTTTTAATTATCACTCACAACACTTGTAAATATTACATTTGTAGTGCAAAATGACTTCAAACTACCATTGCTTAGATCCCCAAATTGAATTTATGCAGTGCAGCTTAAGCATTGAATGTTTATATGTAATTATCCGAAAGATGATAAATCACTTGAATTAGAAGGGTAGTCATGGAATTTACACTGGCGACATGATTTTGGCATATGATTTTGCACCTGTTAACCATCTAGTATTTAGTTGTACTTTTTTTTTTTTTTTTTTTTTAACCAACCGGTTCTTTTCGGCAATCTTAATAGGAGAGATAGCGTGTACTTACAAGTGGTATGTACTGTGGACGACTCTGACTCTTCCTTCGGGGAGACTATAGGAATTCTGTAAGAAATATAGATATATATATTTTAGTTTCAAATAAATATTCAAGATCTTCGAAAAACAAATGACTTACTTTTTGCTCTTAGGCTTCTGGGGTGTAGGCAATATTTCTACAGATGGAGCATCTGATCTTGCTGAAACTACTGGGGTCTGCCCCACAACTATGTCTGAGCGCTGAGCCGGAATTTGTTCTGAAAAGCAAAAAAACCAGGGAGTATGCATTTCTGTAGTATTTTAAGGGATTTAGCGCTGGATACTTACCTATATATGGAACATTAGCTCTTTCATCAGAGCCCGGTATTCCAAGACCAATGTTAATGAGCTCTTTAGGTACAATACCTATAGGGACTAAGTGCTCCTGCAAGTCACTCTCGGCGTTCGAGTTATTCTGTAAGTCAGAAAGAAAGAATGCAATTAATTGCGGGACTTTTTGGGTCAGATTCGATCATTTTATTTACCTTATCAAGGTCATCCAGAATATCTTTATTTGTGTTTGGATCTATGATCTGCAAACGATGGAGCCGGCGTCTACCCGTCGACTGCGTCGGCGGTGGAGCGACATTTGCGGGCATCACACCGACCATGGGCGCAACACTAACCTGACCACTTCCTGTGGCTCCAACTCCAATAACCGTATTCGCCCCTTGCTGAACCGCACCCGTCAACATCTGTAACTGTGACGATGAGGGGCCTGGACCTGCCAGCGGTCCATTTGGGCCGGTCTGCACAGGCAGCGTGTTACCTACATTTACGCTATTAACGGTATTGACGGCTACGCCGCTGCGCGAGTGCGATGGCTGCTGCGGAAGCGTTTGCAGGTATGGGTATGAATAATACGGTACGGGTGCATATTGAATATGTGGCGCTGGAAATGTTGGTTGTCGTGGCGGAAACTGTGTATATCCAGGCATCATCTGGTGCATCGGTTGCGTATACATTGTTTGCATGTGTACGTGACGGGCTGTGGCGCCAGCGCCCCGTGGCTGATTCACCGTTGGCGGTGGGCCGCGGAAGATAGCGCCAGTCTGTGGATTTGTACGCGCATTGCCGGAACTGTTATTGCCTGCGGACACGTACTGCAAAGGTGTGAAGATCCAAAACATATTTAGCGGTTGATAAATGTTTTCGAGCTCATTAAATTGATTTTAATTTTAAAACTGAAATTATATATATATATACTTTTCTTCTGTTCTTTCGGTTTTAATTTTTTTCGATCAATTTAATAATGTGTTGTAAAAGTTCTCATCTGTAATTGAGAGCTCACATTTCAATTGATCAAATTTTTCACAATGATAGAGAATGCAGCGCCTATAAAAGATCAGATTTGAGTTTTCAATGGTACTTTAAATCGGCAATTCTTCACTGTATGGAATCTGAAGATATTTCAATCACGCAAGTAACTAAATATCGGCGAATACGAAAACATATATATGTACATATGACTGAAAGCCCATCTTTGAAAGTGTTGCGTAATTTCACGAGAATATGAATAATTGTAAATAGTAATAATAAATGGGAAATGGTATGAGTTTGTATTCAAGTAGATTATGTAAGAAGATAAACTTTTATATGCCAGGATAGCGAAGCTATGGTTGTAGTAGGTTAACAAGACCTAGCGATTAGCCGCACATTCAGTGTTTACAACAGCATAGAACAATTATATTCCAGAGAGCAACACGAACGAGAGATCTTTAATAGATCCAACCTCTAACCGAACACGCATAAACCTTCTAGCATGCAATTGAAGAGAATTTACACCAACGTCGATACCTGTAATTCAACTTTGAAGCTACAATATTTATGGCGTACCTCTTGTGCGGCTTGGAAGCTACTGTTTGTTAGCAAGTTATTATTCTTAAAGTCGTACTTCCTACTGTCGATACAACTGACGCCAACGAGACCCTTGTCGTGCATGTAGGGACCGCTCGGGGTGCCCAGAGTAATACCGAGCGCATTGCCGCCATGCGAGTTGGTGAGCGCTATGATGCTGCTGCTCCCGCTCCCGCCACTGCTGTTGCCGCCGGCTGCTGTGCCACTGGCTCCTACACTGTTGGCGCTGGCCCCACCATTACACATATCCGCCCCGCCCACAAAGCGGCCATTCGAGTCAAGAACGCTGCTGCTGCCGCCCGGCAGACTTCGGTGGCCAGTCAAATTGTAAATGGAGGCGGAGTTCAGGTCACCCGCATTCAATTGACAGCTATTGACGGTCATGATGTTGCCACCGCTACAAATGACCGTCGATTGTTGTGAGCCGGAGGGCGCCATCGATCTATTTACCACATTGGCATAGCTTTGCTGTTGCTGCAGGTGATGCGACTGCTGCTGATGTGTCAGGTGCGACGGTTGCTGGGCGCTCGGCGCTGAAGTCTTCAATATGGAGACCACGTTGTAGGTCTTATTTATCTGAAACTGTGGCTGTGTTGTCTGTGGCAGGGGCTGCTTTGTGGGCTGCACCTGTGGAGCATACTTTTTGGTCTTTTTGTTGGCCGGCACAATCTACAACGGATCACAAGATTTCCATGTTGTTGTTTTTTTTCTTTTGTTAATCTACATATCTTAGTCGACCATACTTTAAAAACCAGAAATTTGGAAACGAAACCAACATTAAATGGAAATCAAGAAAAATCTACCTGTCAAACTGAATTAAACGAAAAAAATAAAGAAAATAAATGTGCGGCCAAATTGAAAAACGGACAACCGAAAAAGCTAAAAACGAAGAAAATCCATTTAGACGAAATCCATCAGGAAAACAATAATGTCAAGAATAAAAACAAATCAAAATAGTATTGAGATTTGAGAATGAAGTTTGAGTTAGGTTATATGTATATAATTCACAATTCAAGTAATAGTTGTTAGTAGTATTTACAGGGCATTAACGTTAACCAAATAGGTATTTCGTACTCCCCTAAAACTTCTTTGAATCATTGCTGCTATTTTATTTATCTTTTAAAACCAATTAAAGTGGGGCAATACTTGTATAATCAGAAATTCTAGAAATTTGTGTATTTAAAAATATCATTAATTGCAGCAGCTGTTTTTGTCTCTGGCACAAAATAAAATTGGTGCACGGCATGTTTAAGCTTTTGCTTAATGTACTTAATAAATTATAATGAAATCCTGGGAGTCTGTAATTATATAAAGTCTCGATAACAAATTTAAAAATATCAAATAATCTTTCGGTACTAATTAAATTTCTTTTAAGTGCAACGTTCTGATTTTCAGACGGACGCACCGAGAATTATCAATATGCCGATAAAGCTATGATGCAACAGGTATGGCCTAATTAATTTAAAAACCGCCTTGTGCTTGAACCCACATATCCACAACGATTTTGAATGGTGAATGGTCTCTCAAAGTATAAATAAACACACATACAATATCGGAAGAACTTATTAATGTAACTTAACTATGAAAATAAACTGAATATTTATATATTTAAAAACAAAATCATAGCTATTCGAACATTCCGAATATGCAAACACGTTCGCATTGGCCTTTTAAGGCAGCATTTCACAGCATGACACAGGAGAAGAACTGCGCCATATTGCAATTGGAGTTCATAGGAAGCTATTTGCCCACTTCGGTCTCTTAGACCAATAGCACATATTTGGAAATCAATTTAGAAAAGAATGACAATGTTTATGGCATTGGATTAGCTGTGCGAAAGGTTCTCATCATCTTCATCATTCATTTAGAGAGAGAAAAAAAGGACAGGCATATAATGACTTACCATATTTTGTGCTGAATGGGGCTGCATTGTTTTAGCAATTTCGGCTTGTGTTGATAAAGCAGGTGCAGCTGGTTGCATTACGGATGGGCCGAGCGGTTTGGTAATTGGAAGCCGTCAAACGCGTGGCCGCTTAATTGACGATCTCCGGGGCGATTCTGGACCCGCTAGCAATGCGTCCACACAACCATCTGATTTTGCCAAGAAGACGTGAACTATATTTGAAATACACAATGCTAAAATAGTTTATTTTATAACATATACAAAATTCGAAATGACACGAGTCTTACCTGAAATATGACGAATGCACGCGGTATTAGTTCCGGAAGGTTTCCTTCACGCAATAGTTGCAATTTGTGAACAAGTGATTGATGTCAATGTCAACCTACAGGTGAAAAATAAAGAAAAATTGAAATTAATCAATGGACACCAGGTATTTGATTTCATTGTAATAATCTGGAGCATAGGTCTTGTTGAATAAATATTTACGTATTTGCTTCCAATAAATCATCTAGCTTTCGTATTCATTTATTATTGCACTAAATCGAGGTGGTATTTCATTTTGCAAAATGAGCACATTTAAGACCTGGCCAAGGGCCTTGAAAATCGCACATTATCGCTTTTAATTGTATCTAAACAGAGTGGCATGGAAACTGCAACACACAAAAAAGAAAACAATAACGAAAAAACTGCTCGGTAATAACCTAAACCAATCCAAAAGTACTCAATCGAACAGCATGTGAAACTATTTGAGGTTGAAGGCATTTTTCCAACAAAAGTTCACGCGTCATTTGCACACACACATGTACATATGTATTTATGTATGTATGTATATAGATATGTATGTATTTCGAATGCAACACAACGTTTTTAGACAGGCATTTTACATATGAGAAAACAAGTTGAAGTATTTGTATCTTACGTGTATATAAACTACATAATTATATATTTTTCCCCTCGCTCGTGCTTCTGTGTGTGGCCGTCATTGTATGTATGTATGCACATATTTGCGTACACATACATACATACATTTATTTGGGCATGCACATATTTACTTTAATTATTTATTGATACATATGCAGTCCACCCCCGACGCATTATCTACTATTCAACTATATTTTGTATTTGCATTTCAACATTCAATTCTTATGTGCGAGAGAGTTTAAGCCACAATTAATTTTTTTTAAAACAGCATTTTTGGTTATTATCTTCAGCTATTTGCCGACGTTGACGTCTCCGCCTTTGACGTGCCGTAGTACACAGAGCCAGAGCACAGAGCACGCAAGCAAACGAACGGAACGAATGAGTGAGCGAGGTGGAGCGAGTCAAGTTAACGACGAAAGACGACGTACCGACCGACCGACCGTCTCTTACACAAAGAAATTGATGGTAAAAATTAATCGCCGACTTGACTAATATTCAGCTATAACTTGTACTTAGTGACGTGCCATCGCCATCAAACACCCACAATTTTCAAGCCACACAATTCGGTTATCAAACCAACCAGCACCAACACCAACCCACAGTCTTAACATATCAATATGTTGTGCGATTTTAAAGATGCGACGTCAACGCTGCTTGCATTGCAGTATAAAAAATGCCATCATGTAATTTCTACTTCATGCCCGTTCTCTCTTTTGCCCCGTTTGTTCATTTACCTGGAGCACACGCGCTGAGCACTTCGTCAGTACACCAGTACACGGGCTTATAAACAATTTATGTACAACAACAAACTATTTATGCACTTGTAACATATACTTATACTTGTTCAGCAATAAACTAAGCTGTATTCTTAATATGTTTGTTTATTTTATTTATTTATATTTTCTATATTTTCCACATCCACATGCAATGTGTTCGGGTGATGGCTGAATAACCGAGGCGATTGGCTCTGCTTCTTCTTTTTTCGCCAGTTACAGCGAATGACAGCTGTCAAAAGAGAGAGCGAAAAGTCTGCCAACACTGGCACTTAGTGCCGGAAAGCGCACAATCATTTGACATAATTTATCGACAAGTCCAGGTTGAACTTAAGCCACAATCGATCAGTTTTTAAATTAATGTATACGATACCACTTACTTTGCTTAGACTAACTTACACAAATTGCATTTGCTTCGCCACCATTTTGACCCGGTTTTTGAGTCATGTATACTTTCATTGAAGGAGAATAATGTACCCGAATTGTTTATTGTATTAAAGTTCAGTTAAGTTCTTTTCGGCCACAAAGTACATACATATGTCATTTGCTTTTGTGATTAATGTTGCTCGCCGGCTTGACAGCATTGCTTTCTGTCGTTGAAAATGTTATAATACACGAAGTATTAATATCACCGTGAAAATATACCCTAGGCGCATCATTGAAATGCCTTGAAAAACACTTTATCCACTACATATGTATGTACATGTAGGTATGTTGCAGCATACAAGTATAACCAAGAACGCTACTGAAATAAAAATGAATCCAAACGTAAACATGCTCTTCCCCTAGGGGACTTCCCACCCAACATTTATTGAACTGTAGCCTTCTTTCATATATTTTGTATGCATATTGATCAATATGTTATAGAAAAAGTAGAATGTTTGAAAAAAAGAATGGTCTGATAATGATATTAACAATACTTTTAATGGGATGCTTGTATATACAAGTACATAGACAGATACTTCGAAAATTGTGATTTAAAAAACCTGTCATATGCTTAAATTTTTGCTATATCATATACTATACATATGAAAAACATTGATTTTTTTGTTATTCATTATTTAATTCATTCTTTACACATATTTAGGTATATTTAAATAAACAAATATAACTACTGGCAATAGCGCTCTTAAGAATCGAGTGACATAATTAATTTAAGCCCGCTTGACTTAATTTTCATTTTGAAATTGATTCATACTCGATACAAGTATACTAAGTCGGAAAACATTTAAAATGTAAATCGAAACGAAAAAAATTCAATATAAATTTGTTAATCTCTTTCCCATAGTCATAACGGTGGAGAGCCCCTACTGTCACTTTATTTCCTCTCGACCCAGTTTCCTATAATATGTAAAATAAGTTTGAATTTCGATGTCACAAATTATAAGGGCTTCAACCAATTATAAGTTTGGTTCTTCTTCTACTCTTTCTTAATAGTCTATATAAGCTAACATTAAAAGCAAACAGTTTCGTTGCACGATTGGTGAATGAATCAAAACCCATTTTTTTTTATCTACCCAGACCATTTCAGTTGAATCCTGAGCCTGTGGTCAAACTGACAAAAAAATTGCACACAAAATTATTATTATAATGTTTCTTCAAATAAAACCAATATGAATCTTATACTGAAATGTACTCTTCTGATATACCAAACAACTTTGGGAGTTACTGTTTAATGCCTATTTGGAAAATACAACAAATTTAATTGGAAATAATTTGTAGTCTGGCCGTGGCTTTATGTTATTTTGTCTTTCGGTAAAAATAGATAAAGTCACAAACTGGTCAGCTATGTAAGATTTCAGAATATATTTGCTGTCTTGCTGCCTGGAAAAATTAATTGAAATGTGATATAAATGAAGGTTCTAAATCAATTAATTTATATTTTTAATAAAGAAATATTTTTGTAGTTTTTTATACACGAAAAACACAAAAACTCCGAACATAAGAACAATTTTATTATTTTGTTGTAAGTCAAAGGCCCTCCACGCACTGTGTGTCCTTTAAACATTTATAGCACCGAAAATAAATTAGTAAAGACAAATGAATTACAAACTCTAAATTAACTATTCATAGTCATTAATGATTAATAAATTTCCTAAATTTTTTAAGAAACCATTACTCGCTAATAAAAATTAGTTTTTAGTAACAATTTTCAATTACTACAGACATATAGTACAAAGAACTAAGATAAATCATCTCGATAATATTAAATAATACTATATGCACATTTATGTATTAAAATGCTGATTATCTTCTTTCTAGGAAATGAAAATATAATAGCATTGCTATATACAGATACTTGTTTTGTGTCCTTTTTTAAATTAAATTTTATTTAATTGTAAGCTTTTTCTCTCTGTTAAGTTATTCTTTTTAATAAATATATACATACAATAAATATAAATATAAATAATTAAATAAATGTGTATGTATGTATATTCATAAGTAATTAATACTGGCAACGCAATTATTGTCTTCTTATACTATGCTAATAAGTATATACATATAAAAAAATATAAAAAAGCAATCCTTTAAAAGCATTATACTACATACATATAAGCATATAGACGAGTAGTGAGTATGTTGAAATTATTACTGTGCCATTCCAAAACTGGTGAAGTCTTTCGTAATGTTTCGCTGTATTTCCAGCCCCAGTGCAAGACAAGAACCAACCTCGGGACCACTACCACTACCATACCCAAAAGCACAAACACAAACACAAGCACAACCGCCATCGCCATCGCCATCGCAATGTTATTTGTGCAGACAGCATTGCATGTGGAGGAGGTTCTGCACAGACTGCTCAAAGCATACTTCCCTGCCTTTCCAAACAGGAGGTGCCTCGTGGAAAAGAGACGGAGCCGAGCGGCGAGCGGTGAGTGGCGGGAGGAGAGGCGACAGGCGAGAGGCGCAGCTAGGCAGTTAGGCAGTTAAGAGAGCCGAAAGCTCAGGGAAAAGCTTTAGCAGCCCAACAAATGCTGCGGCCCCTAACACTTAGGCAACATTGTCCGAATGTCTGCACTCTTTGGCTTCTGCCGGGTGCGGATGCGGATGGAAGGACGGATGGTTGGATGTTATGCTTTAACTTTGGTAAGAGTGTCCTTCTGCTCTGCTCTGCACTGCCTTTTCATTTTTCAGTTGCTATTTTTTATGTTGTCGGTTTGCTCTTATGGGCCCATTGCTGGTGTTGCTTCTACTGCTGCTGCTGCCGATGCTGCTTGCGCTCCCGAAAAAGGACATGCTGGGGAGAGATGGACAGTTAGATGGTTGCCAAGCGTGTTGTTGTTGTTGCTGTTGCTGCTGCTGCTGCCTTTACTGTTACTGTTGTTCTTTTCCATGATGTTGCCGTCGTCGCTGCTGCTGCTGCTGCCGATGCGTTTCTTGTTGTTGTTGTGTTGCTGCTGCTGCTGCTGCTGCTGATGGTGGTGGTGGTCCTGCTGCTGCTGCTGCTGCTGCTACTGCTGCTGGTAAAAGTACAAGAACTGCTTGGGCTTATCATCAGTAAATCAGTTTATCTACTGGTAATACTAAGAACAGATGTGCGCGTTAATTCGCTCGTGGTCCAACTGGAAACTAAAATATTAACGCGAAAGAAAACAAGTTCAATACAAATTATTGTATAATCTGACCAAAATAGTAAGCCTCCACAGCTCCACAAGGATGTTGAGGTAATGTCCAAAAATTTCAAATAGTGCCACCAGCAAAACAGAGCCAGAGCCAAGTAATACAAAGAAAAACCAAAAAAAAAAAAAAAAAAAAATTAAACAAAACATGAAATGTGAAGTGCAACAAAACGCGAACAACAACAACAAACACAACAATATAGTTAACTTTTTGTATAGAAAATTCGTAAAGTGCTTCTGTTTGTGCTTGTGGCTTGAAATGTACATGTACGAGTGCTTCTGCTTGCGAGTGTGAGTGTGTGTGTGCGTATTTGTGTATATGCGTGTGCGAGTAAACGTATGCGTGAGTGTACGTGTGTGTGCGTGTCTGTGCTTATGTGTTTGTCTGTATAAAGCATCTCGACTAATTGCGTGAGTGTGCAAAACTTAATTTGTACCTTTCTTGCAACATTTTTCTTAACACACACACCAAGATAGCCGCGCACTACATTATCGCCATCATCATCATCACCATCACCATCATCATCATTGCCATTATCTTGGGTAAGAAGCAGCAGACCTGCTTTAACTTTTTGCCTGCCTGCCTGCCTCAATAGCTTAACATGTGTGTATGTATGCATTCACACGCCTGAATTGTGCGAGCGTGTGAGAATGGCCAAAGATCTAATTTCAAAGACATCCTCCAGCATTCAGCATCCTGAGCAGCAGCGGCAGTGAGGCAGGCAGCTATTGTGGCTGCCGTGGCGGACTCTTCATTTGAATGACCATCAGCCATCAGCCACCAGCCATCGGCCATCGGCCATGGGCCATCCAACAGCATCAGCATCAGCATCAACGAATAGGGGCCAAGCCATACCCCAGTTCGAGCTGTCAGCTGCCCGCCGCCCCCTGCTGCTGCCGTCATTGCGGCCAAATGTTGCGCAGCAGCGCCATCATCATCAACGCTAACGGTACCATTCTTGTTCTTGTTGGTACTTCTTGGGAAAGTTCTTGCACCAAAGCTTTTTCTGGGTCGCTGTCACCGCTTTATGTACACGCAGTGGCCAGATACAAGTGTGTGTGTGTGTACTATGCATGTGTGTGTGTGTGTGTGATGCTGTGTGTGTGTGTGTGTGTGTGTGACATGAAAAACTTTGTGCACAACAGTGCGTATGCGTTATAGAAAGCAGCGACAGCTGTGTCCGCTCTCTTCTCGCTCAGCCGTCCAGCAGCAGCGTTGCCCTCGCTCTCTTAATTGTTGAGTGCACTCTTAAACAACCCCTGGATTGTGTAAATAGGCAGCAGCAATACTCGCAAGCCTATAAACAAAGCAATGTTAACTATCCAAGCCACATAAGTATGCTATAAAAAAGCCAAACAACAAATACAAACTACCATTTCGATGCGATGCGATGCGATGCTCCTCTATCGAGAGCCTATGCATATTTTGAATTGAAACACCTTGGTAGAGTGCGCTGTCAGACGAAAAGTAGTAAAGTGCGTAATTAATTTGGCGCCTGTTGGCCACCTGAAGCCGAAGCCGAAGCCTTTCAAAATGCTGCTGAGTGTTGCTGCTGCTGCTGCTGCTGCTGCTGTGAGAGCTGAGAGGCGGTCAGTTAAGTTATTCAAAGAAGTTGAAGAAGTTGTGGTTCCCGCTGCACGCACATCTAATTATCTACTTATTTAGAAGTGTGGTTAGTTAATTGTGATTGGAGGAGGATGGTAATATGCTTGAAATTAAATAATAATTAATATTATTTTTATAAACAAATATTTTTTTTTTTTTTGTATACAATTGAGTATAAATTGTATATTTAATAGCGCGCGTAGAAATCATCTGAATTGGAAAAAATTAAAAGAAATACTTGTAGTCTAGAAGGCAAGTAGTGATTATAAACATTTGATTTTGTTTTGCAGATCTTAGGACATGGCAGAAACGTTGCTGATCCACACCAAAAATGCGGGGCTTCCAAACACATGAGCACACTTTAATTGAGAAACTGGATGAATAGTACGGAATGCGTCGAAATTCTACAAGAAATAGGGCACTCGCAAATATGTGGCAACCATTTCGACCATTTCGAAGTGCCGATCTAGGTGGCATTCAAATTTGCATGCTCCTGCTGTTGTCGGCATTCTGGTGGAGTTCGCTGCCGCTGCTCGAGGGCTCCGGCGCATCACAGGCACCACAGGACACTGTATCGGTTAGCCTTCCCGGTGATATTATACTGGGCGGTCTGTTTCCGGTGCACGAGAAAGGAGAGGGCGCCCCCTGCGGACCCAAGGTGTACAATCGTGGTGTTCAGCGTCTGGAGGCCATGTTATATGCCATTGACCGGGTCAACAATGATAGCAACCTACTGCCAGGCATAACGATAGGCGTGCACATATTGGATACATGTTCGCGCGACACTTATGCCCTCAACCAGTCGCTACAGTTCGTTCGTGCCTCGCTAAACAATCTGGATAACTCGGCCTTTGTGTGTTCCGACGAGTCATCACCCCAGCTGCGAAAGAACGCTACCTCGGGACCTGTCTTTGGGGTGATTGGTGGCTCCTACAGCTCAGTGTCCTTGCAAGTGGCGAACCTGCTGCGTCTTTTCCACATACCACAGATATCGCCGGCATCCACTGCGAAGACTCTGTCGGATAAGTCACGCTTCGATCTCTTCGCGCGAACCGTGCCTCCAGATACATTCCAGTCTGTGGCACTCGTGGACATTATCAAGAACTTCAACTGGTCCTACGTATCAACGATACACTCAGAGGGTTCTTATGGAGAATATGGCATCGAGGCATTCCACAAAGAGGCGAGCGAACGACACGTCTGCATCGCTGCCGCTGAAAAAGTTCCGAGCGCGGCCGATGACAAAGTCTTCGATGCGATCATCAGCAAGTTGCAGAAAAAGCCGAATGCACGGGGCGTGGTCCTTTTTACACGGGCCGAGGATGCCCGGCGCATACTGCAGGCAGCGAAGCGAGCAAATCTCGCCCAGCCCTTTCATTGGGTTGCCAGCGATGGCTGGGGCAAGCAACAGAAGCTACTGGATGGCCTAGAGGAGATAGCCGAGGGTGCCATAACCGTGGAGTTGCAGTCAGAGATTATAGAGGACTTCGATCGATATATGATGCAGTTGAACCCGCGTTCGAATCTCCGCAATCCCTGGTTTGCGGAGTACTGGGAGGATACCTTCAATTGTGTACTTTTGGACAGCTCTGAGCTAATAAATCCAATAAATAGAAGCGATCCTAAACAACTCGAAGACGGCAGAGTCATTTGCGATGAGAACTTTCGGCTTTCGGAAAAAGTCGGGTAAGCATATAAGTATTTGCACAATCACAATCGTACCATTATACGACATTCTTCCTTGTAAATACTAAAGAGAAGGGAAATTGGCAGCTATTTTATATTATGTAGTTAAATTTACATAAAAGCTAAGCATGTCCGAAAAAGAATCTTTAATAATCCGAGTAGGTGGAAGAGTAGCCAGCAATGCATCGATTCACAGCAGAAGAAGCCACAACACTACTTGTAGTAACTAATTTATGAAGAAAGAAGAAAGACCAAGGCCTATCCTACGAGTGTTGAATCTATGGGGAATACATTTCTTGTTTTTTAATCCCAACCAATCTGTGTGGAAGGCATAAGAATGACGTTCTTTTGTTGCAGCTACGAACAGGAGTCCAAGACGCAGTTCGTTGTGGATGCTGTCTACGCTTTTGCGCATGCGCTGCACAATCTACACAACGACCTTTGTCTGCGCGACCATAGCAGGCAGAACGACCAAGGTGCCAAGCCCCATCCCCCCCTGCATCACAGCGAATCCGTATGGTATCGCAAGCCCATTGACAGTCAATCACAAGCATGTCCTGCCATGGCCAGCTACGATGGCAAAGAATTTTATAATAACTACTTACTGAACGTGTCTTTCATAGGTAGAGTATAACATTATGATATATCGCTCACTCCTTAGATAAATCTCCTAAATTCTGCTTGTTTCGTCGAAAAGATTTGGCCGGCAGCGAGGTTAAGTTTGATCGTCAAGGTGATGGACTGGCCAGATATGATATATTAAATTATCAGCGACTCGAAAACTCCTCAGGATATCAATATAAGGTATAGTAGACATTGGTAATTGCCGGCATCTGTTACACTTTATTATTACTGTATTCCAGGTTGTGGGCAAGTGGTTTAATAATTTAGAACTCAATCTGCCAACCGTCGTATGGAATAAGGAGGTCGATTTGCCAACCTCCGCCTGTTCACTTCCCTGTGAAGCTGGCATGATCAAGAAGCAACAGGTATATAAAACAAACTGCAACTTAACTAAGCACAAAACATGCAGCTAGGCCTGGTTTTGAGAGAGTTTGTTTTGCTTTAAAAATTGGGAAATCATTTCTCTGAAGACCAAATAAATAAAAGATGTTCTGCCAAATACCAATTAATGTTCATGAAACTCTTACCTGCATTGAATTTAAGCCACAAGCCATTTTTAGGATATCTTTCAGTTTTTGTGACAGACTACACAAACGAACATAAATACATAAATACATATATTCTTAAGCAGCATGACACGGGGAGCCGTTCTGGACTTGTTTGTATATTTCTTTGTCTGCAAATACTCACAGCTCGCATTAAAAGCTAGCAATAAGAGAAAACTCACTTGGGAATTAAATCCAAGATAAACAAATTGGAATTAGGCCTGTGATTTCTTTATTTATGAAAAATATTTTTCCTAACATTAGAAAGTGGATCTAAAATGTGGGGTTTTTATGGCGACTTTTTCAAATCTATAAAATGTTATTTTTGTGTGTAGAGTATTCAATATATATCCTAATTCGTGCTTCTCTCTCTCTCCTTCTCTTTCTCTCTCTCCGTATTTAAAGGGCGACACCTGTTGCTGGATTTGCGACAACTGCGAACCATACGAGTACGTCTACGATGAGTTCACATGCAAAGACTGTGGTCCCGGATATTGGCCTTACCCCGACAAGCTCTCGTGCTTTGCCCTGGACATCCAGTATATGCGCTGGAACTCGCTTTTTGCGATTGTAGCTGTATCCCTGGCTGTGGTTGGAATATTTGGCACTTTCATTGTTATTCTGCTGTTTGCCAAAAACCACGACACCCCTTTGGTCCGTGCTTCCGGTCGTGAGCTCAGCTATACTCTACTCTTCGGAATTTTGGTTTGCTATTGCAATACATTCGCGCTGATCGCGAAGCCAACGATCGGATCGTGTGTTCTGCAGCGATTCGGCATTGGTGTAGGCTTTTCAATTATCTACAGCGCACTGCTGACAAAAACCAATCGCATATCTAGAATTTTTCACTCGGCATCCAAATCGGCACAACGCCTAAAATATATAAGTCCGCAGTCGCAAGTCATTATTACTACTTCGCTAATCGGTAAGTTCCGAATGCTCCATGGATTGATATTTAAAAATAAATGAATCTGACTATCCACAGCCATACAAGTTTTGATTACAATGATTTGGATGATCGTAGAGCCGCCTGGTACTCGATTCTACTATCCGGATAGGACAGAAGTGATACTCAAATGCAAAATACAGGACATGTCATTTCTATTCTCTCAACTCTACAACATGATTCTCATAACCATCTGTACAGTGTATGCCATAAAGACTAGGAAGATACCCGAAAACTTCAATGAATCCAAGTTCATTGGATTCACCATGTACACCACCTGCATCATCTGGCTAGCCTTCGTTCCTATCTACTTTGGCACCGGCAATTCTTATGAGGTAAGGATGGTGGTTAGCTTGTATGGAGGTTGGAGGAGAGGCTTATCTCAAGTGCGGATTATTGTCGCCCACAGATCCAAATCACCACATTGTGCATCTCCATCTCGTTGAGCGCATCGGTGGCACTGGTGTGTCTGTACTCGCCTAAGGTGTATATCTTGGTTTTTCATCCGGACAAAAACGTTCGCAAACTGACGATGAACAGCACGGTTTATAGACGTTCCGCTGCCACGGCTGCTGTGCAGGGCGGCATGCTATCGAGTTCCGGATATAGCCGTACACCTGCTCCTGGCACAGCTGTGGGCGCCACCACGGCCACATCAACCGACCGAGGCAACTCTCAGAATGGCAGCCAGCGTAGCCCCAGCCTTGTATTGGTCCAAAGTCAGGCGGCCGTTGTTCACAATCACGAGGAATTCAATGGGGCTCCGGCCACTGCGGAATGCGACTCTTGCCGGGCAGAGATCCCAGAGCCACAATGTGCAGCCATCGAAGATCCAACTATCCCATCAACTATTGGTAAATGCAGCCAGGATTAAGGTATTTGACTTTCGTTGTGGTAGCAAGCCAAACAAAAATTTACAGCTTTATCGCTTCGACGAAAACGAAGACAGCTTAAATCTAACGACCTGTGTATCTAGTCAAACTAGCTTAAAGCCAAAAGAGCCCAATACCCATTAACCACACTATCCATTAACTAGTATCCACTATCGCTATCACCATCACAATACTTTACTCAACCGGCTTTCGCCCTAGACTATACATTCTACTATATGTACGAGTATAAGCCACATATTGTAGATGTGGGCACCCACTTTATTTAAATCAATACCGAGGCTAAGTGCACCCTGTCTTCGGAATATCAATGCTCAATTTTTGCAATTATTCACCATGTAAAAGCACATGTAGAGATATAGCTTGAAATTGAAATTTAACATAGGCTTAGAGCGGGTAAGCGGCTGACAGGTCCGACCTAATAAATACTCTTCCCCCTACCCCGTGCAATGAAGAATACATATATAAAACAAACAAACGAACAAACAAAAAACAGCAACCTATTTAGTCCTAATCGTTCAACTTCAAATTAGTTTAGAGCACAAGTATTGGCTATAAATATGTACCTAATTATATTATGTACGCCGCATACTACCCATACATATAGTGATTAATAAGAAAACATGTCTCTCTCTCTCTCACTCTGTGTTCTTATCGATTGAATAGCAAAAATTTAATGATTTTAAAATGGGAGATCCAACATTATAATATTCCAACTATTTTAACGGCCTCACCAAAATTAGTGGCTCAAAAATGAAATGAAAAAAGAATAGGAAACGAAACGAAATGAAATCAAACAATTATATGCGGTACATTCTTTGGATGTAGGTGCGATCGTAATTTAGATGAATGAGGTCTTAATGTAAAAGCCCATTAAATTAGACTATCCCACCTACAAATTTAAGCATACCTATAAACCAAAGAGAATACAAATTCACAAAAAATGTAATAAAATAAAATTAAAAAAAAAATAATATACAAAAATAAAAAAAAAAATTAAGAATAATGCACGAATAGAAAACGCATATTGCGAAAGCGAACATAATTAACAAATCGTTCAAACTATTTACTGCAAACATCTGGAAATGTATTTTGGCATTCAAGCTCCAGAAATATTATTTGAACCAATTTTGATAATTATTAACTGTAACTATTGACATAGATTTTCTTATATTGTACATAAGACACATATAAGGGAGCTGAAAATGAAACCAAATAGATAAATGAAAAATACATAATATTGAATTAAAGCTTTGGGTATATTTGGGCTCAATCTTCAATGAATGAATGTGCATGTCATGAAAAAGGTGCGTACAATTTATTTATTTATAATAAAGTTTCAGTGGAAACAAAGTTTTTGTCGGGGTCCAACTAAGCATGTCACAATCTGCAAAATTTGAAATCCGATTGTCTTGCCAAAGAGCTTGTGGGATTCACAAAAAGCCTAATCTTGGATTTAAGTGCTAAAAGCTTCAGAGCTGTCAATCTGATTTGAAATTTGTGTTTTTCAACACTAATGAATATCCCACTGGTGACAAGGACGGTATTATCGATATGAAGTATCATTGGTGTGAGTAGGACAAACATATCGATATTTTCCGCTTGTGCAACGAGCGAAACGTACTAAAAAATGTGTAGAGCGTCCATAGCTCATTTAAAATGCGGCCACACTAAAACTATTTGCCTCAACGGAGTTCAACTTTCCTTTCCCCGCTAATAAAACAAAAGGTGCGAAACAGAAACAACCGAAGTATACTGTGCGCCACTTATTTATTCATTATTTTACGGTCTGTGAATAAGTTTCCAACGGACGCGCACAACTTGGTTATTTTTTTCCTGTGATTTCGCGCACAGTTTCAAAACAAAAATACATAGATGCTTAGATACATACATCCATGCATACGCATATTTATACATACGCAGTATTTAAACCAGATTCATAACTGTGCGCCGCCGCCTAATTTTTTGTGAAATTAAAACGAAATAAATCCATTTAAAAAAAGAAAAAAAACAGTGAAATTTTCGCTCTTTACCATTTGTTGAGCTCAACCGAGTAAATATCTGTGTATCCATTCATATTCATACCAATACACCTTTGTAAATACATAATTGTGTATGTGCCCTCATCCACCCACCGACGAAGGCGTGACGTCATTGCGACGAACAAAATGTTCATACATGCATACTTATGTATGTACATAGATATGTATGTACGAATATGTATGTGCCTGCATACCTATGCCCATGTACATACATAGATACAAATGTACGCGTCCGGATCCAAGATTTATGTTCTGTTTTCAACTTTCTATTGTGTACACAACTGTGTGTCTGATGCGCCTGTCTGTCTGCCTGTCCGACTATCTGTTTTTTATTATATGGAATAACATGCGAACAGACCAGCGATTAGATAAATATTGACAAATGGCATAGGTAAATTGTAATCGAGCTCGAGCGCACTATTTATGTACCTAGGAAATTCTTAGGGGCTTCTGCCTTCCCTGCACCTGTACTTAGGTCGTTTGTTTTCAATTCAACCGCATACCGCATAATGTGTACATACATACTGTACATACATATATACATACTACACATATGTATTTAACATATTCCCATTTTAATCACATGCGTTTGTTTATACATACTATGTGTGAATAATATACATATTTATCTCTAAAAGGGATCGCAAAAAATGACTCTAGGCGAAATACAAAACGGGAATGTGACATCGTTGACGAAGAATCGAGGCGGTGAGATGACGACAACAACAACAACAACGGATGTGAACACACATGGACATGGGCATGGACATCATGGCCATCAGCAGCATAGCGAGCCTGTGGACAACGGCAATCTGGACAACGGGAGTGCAAAGCATCAAAAGCAGGTGAGAATTAAGGATTTAGGATGATTCTAGATGATATGCAATGATGCCGATTAAATAAGCAAATTGTCACGGGCACTGGCATTCCAACGACAAACTTAATTACAGCAAAAAACACAAAAAAATATCTAGAGCAAAAGTGACCCGCTCATTGAACCAACCAATGAGATGAGATCACTTTGGCACAACGCACACACAAACACACATCACACACACACACACACACACTCAATACAAATACACACGCAAATCTACAAATCTACACGTTGAATTGAGGCATATAGACGTGCTATAGCTACAGAGCTATATCGCTAGCTATACGCATACGCACATGTGAATGAATATCCAGTTCGTGTGCTTGTGTGTGTGTGTGTGTGTGTGTGTGTGTGTATGTGTGAACTGAACTCAGCAATTGTCGGTCGCTTCACACTCTGCTGCGGTGGCGTCCGCATATGATATAGTAGTGTATACAATACAGTACAATACAGCACACAATAGATGGCACATTCATACAAACATACATATTTAATGTTGATGTTGATGTTACTTTTGCTGATGCCAAACAACAATTTAAATTTTTTTTAACACACACACACACACATACACATGAACATTTATTAAGGGGGGGTGCGTGTCAATTAGTCATTCCATGTCCATTTCCATTCTATGGACAACACCAGTTACATTTGTATTTATGTATGTCAGCAAGCAAATACATATACACATACAAGTATGTATCTGTGTGTGTGTGTGTGTGTGCCATAAAGGGTAGCACAAATCGTATATGCTTGAACTTTTGAAGTTGAAATCGATTGCCTATATTCGATCCATACACATACATATATACTATACATATATATTCATATGTACATATGTTCATATATATACAAGTATATACAGGTTGTTATATATTTAGCCTAAGGCAAGTTCAAAGGGTTGAGCTTTTGGGCTGGGCATTGAGGTCGTTCGTCATATTAAATATGAAGGGCGGAAATATAGACAACTTTTTCGCACATATGTATATGCATGCTATGTATAGGTATATGGTAGTAGGGCTCTAAAATGAATTGTGATTTGACCCAACCGACAACAGAAGTCGAATGAATATTGACTTAGGATTCTAACAAGTGCTTCGCATGGGGAGGGCTCCAGAATGATGCACTTTCAAGTACTTATCTAAACAAATACACAAAACGAAATCTTATTGTTATGAGCAGATATAATTTCTAAAAATTAATAAATTCTGCTTTTATCAATACAAGTTCTTAGTGGGAGAAGCGCAGAGGAGGGCTAAAAAATTTATTTTTTTAAATAAACAAATTCTGGCAATAATTCTAGCTCATAGAAGCTGGGTGTATGAAGGATGATTTAAATTAAAAATGAAGCGTAAAAATCACAATAAACTAAACAGAATATCTATGCTGTAAACACAATTGCTTAAAGACTTTGGAGAGTTATGAACTGAATTACGTTTATTCTATTTGATTTCCACACAGAGCGATGCAACAATATCGTTCCTACGAGCCGCTCGCAGTGGGGATCTCGGCCGAGTTCTGGAATTCATCGAAACTGGCCAAATCACGGACATAAACACTTGCAATGCGGTAAGTTGGAAATTCAACAAGTCCGACCCACTTAAGATCCCACTCACCTGTTTTCTCGATTCGCCTTCACTATTCATAGAACGGCCTGAACGCACTGCATCTTGCTGCCAAGGATGGGTATGTGGATATTGTCAGCGAGCTGCTGCAGCGCGGCATCAATGTTGATAATGCGACAAAAAAGGGCAACACAGCACTCCACATTGCCTCGTTGGCTGGCCAAAAGGATGTCATCAAACAGTTGATTCAATACAATGCCAATGTAAATGTTCAGTCGCTGAATGGATTTACACCACTCTACATGGCGGCTCAAGAGAATCACGATGGCTGCGTGCGCTTTCTGCTGGCCAAGGGCGCAAATCCATCGCTGGCCACTGAAGATGGCTTCACACCTCTAGCTGTAGCCATGCAACAAGGGCATGACAAAGTGGTTGCCGTGCTTTTCGAGAACGATACGCGTTGTAAAGTCCGCCTACCAGCTCTACACATAGCGGCCAAGAAAGATGACATTAGAGCGGCCACTCTACTACTCGATGTAAGTAGCCACCATAAAAGCCTAATCTTGATCGGCAGCATTATCATCTAATTATTGCGGTTTCGTTTCACAGAATGATCACAACCCCGATGTCACTTCCAAATCTGGCTTCACGCCCCTACACATTGCCTCGCATTATGGCAATGTGGACATTGCCGATTTGCTGTTGGAGCGCGGCGCCAATGTCAACTACACGGCCAAGCACAACATCACACCCTTGCATGTGGCCTGCAAGTGGGGCAAGGCGAACATTATGCGTCTGTTGTTGGCGAAGAATGCGCGCATCGATGCGACCACAAGGGATGGTCTCACACCGCTGCATTGCGCCTCGCGATCAGGTCACGTGGAGGTAATCGAGCTGTTGTTGGCCAACAATGCGCCCATCTTGTCAAAGACCAAGAACGGACTCTCTGCATTGCATATGTCAGCCCAGGGGGAACACGATGAAGCTGCTCGTCTGCTGTTGGATCACAAGGCACCCGTAGATGAGGTTACGGTTGACTATTTGACGGCCCTACACGTAGCCGCTCATTGTGGACATGTCCGCGTTGCGAAGCTGCTGCTTGACTATAACGCTGATCCCAATTCGAGGGCTCTGAACGGATTTACTCCGTTGCACATTGCATGCAAAAAGAATCGCATTAAGGTAGTGGAACTGTTGCTGAAACACGGTGCGAATATTGGAGCCACAACGGCGTCTGGCCTGACACCCCTACACGTGGCTAGCTTCATGGGCTGCATGAACATTGTAATCTATCTGCTACAGCACGATGCCAACCCCGATTCGCCTACGGTGCGTGGGGAGACATCACTTCATTTGGCTTCACGTGCCAATCAGACGGACATTATACGCATCCTGCTGCGCAATGGCGCCCAGGTGGATGCCATTGCCAGGGAGGGGCAGACGCCTTTGCATGTGGCCTCACGTCTGGGCAATATGGACATTATTATGCTGATGCTACAGCACGGCGCTAATGTAGATGCCAAGACCAAGGATGCGTACACTCCATTGCACATTGCAGCCAAGGAAGGACAGGAGGAGGTTTGTCAGCTATTGATCGATAATGGTGCCCAGCTGGATGCGGCCACCAACAAGGGATTCACGCCTCTCCATCTCGCTTCCAAGTATGGCAAGGACCGTGTAGCAGCGTTGCTCCTTCAGAAAGGCGCCACTATAGACTGTCAGGGCAAGAATGATGTGACTCCCTTGCATGTGGCCACGCACTACGATCATCAGTCAGTGGTTTTGCTGCTCCTCGAGCTAGGCGCTTCACCTCAGATAGCGGCCCGCAATGGCCACACTGCCCTGCACATTGCAGCCAAAAAGAATCAAATGGAAATCGCCCAGAATTTGTTGCAATATGGCGCCGATGTTGACGCAGTCAGCAAGTCTGGCTTTTCGCCCCTCCACTTGGCCGCTCAAGAGGGACATGCGGACATGGTTCAGTTACTGCTTGAGCACGGTGTGAATGCAAACGTTGCGGCAAAGAACGGATTAACGCCACTACATTTGGTGGCTCAGGAGGACAAGAGTGAGGTGGCGCGAATTCTCCTTGACAATGGGGCCAACATTTCAGAACGCACCCGGTCCGGTTATACGCCCCTCCACATTGCTGCCCATTACGGCCAAATCAATATGGTTAAGTTTCTGCTCGAGAACGATGCCAACATTGAGATGAGCACCAACATTGGTTACACACCCCTTCACCAGGCAGCTCAGCAGGGTCACACGATGGTCATCAACTTGTTGCTGCGCCACAAGGCCAATCCCGATGCCGTGACAGATGTAAGTTCAAATATAAATATTCTCAAAATTACGTTGCAATTTCTTTCGCTTTTACAAGGCTTTGAAAATGTTAATTAAATTGAGGTTCCTTTAAATGCGTTTCTTTAGGTCTCCTTATATTTATGGCTTGCAATTCTAAAGTAAATATTGAAATTGTTCCAAATTGTACTTGTAATTAGAAGCAAATCTATCACATAGTGCGTACGAGTTTGTAGGATTAAAGGATAATTAGTGGATATTTTTATTGGAAGAAGGGAGATCAAAGTGGGCATGAAGACTAGTATTTTCCATATGAAAACCAAGCTCATTACAAACCAGATAGAGCTGAAATATTTTAAAGTGCAAATAATGTAGGGGTATTGCAGCCGAACTCTGTATTTATAAGTGTTTGAATTGAATTATTTTTTATAAAGTTTATTTGAGAGTGATGCACCTAATTCGGTTTTTACACGGTTTTGATATAACACGGTTTGAAAATTGAAACTTGCATATACATATATTTCTTTAGAGATAAGAAAGCAATCACCTATTTTTGCATATGATCAATGTCTTTTTTTACACGGTTGTTTCTGGTACCAATCTACCGTGTAAAAACAGAATTAGGTGTACATACTATACTGATCTGACAATTTCGACTGCGGAAAGTATAACAACACGTTATAATAGGAACTGAAATCTTACTGCCACCTGTTTTTTATTCGAGATTATTTTGAGCGCTTTCGGCCGTTAGAGAGTCGTACGGTTTGAGTTTGAAGAGTATCAGTCTATTGTGAGCTCTTCGACTACGTAGGTTTTATTAACGGGGGACGCTATGTTGCAATCTAAGTTCGCGATTATAAAACAACATAGTACTTCAAACATTTTTGAATTGTAAAAGCTTTGACTCATCATTACGTAGCAGAATTGTATCTTCAAACTGTCCAAAACGGGGGAAATGATCTAAGCATACAAATAAACACTCAAACACACTCACGCACACGCACACACATATACAAATCCATTATCGACACGGCATTTAATGTTAATCAAAAAAACAATTAAGAATACGCGCAATTGTGGGCTCTGATATTACAAAAAACACTCGTTAGTTCGTTTTGCTCATGAGTTCAATTTTCGTTGCCATCGCAGGCAGGAGTTTTTTAGTCTAAAGTGGACGCTTTAAACATAAACTACCGCAACAAAAACAAACCCAACCGTAACAACAACAACAACATAGGTATACAGAGCGACTGTAAGTCTATTTATAATCATTTCGTTATTCTACATATAGCATTTTTTTCAAACACTACAATTGGGCATCGAGCACACTAAGTAATCAGCATACATTGACGGGGGCTGTTCTCATTGATTGAATTACTACTGGAATGTAGACAAAGCCGCTGTCGCTATCGACAGTATCGGTATGAGTGTCGGTGTCTCAGTTTTCCTTCTCGGTAATGCTATGGGGAAAGTGTGAGGGACACGTCCCAACTGGTTGACTGGATCAGATACCGAAATATAAGGTGCCACTGGTGCTCTTAGTCCAAATTTTTCAAATTTTGTTTTTTGTGGAAAACTGAGTGCCTGTATGTGAGTGTGTGTGTGTGTGTGTGTGTGTGTGTGTGTGTGTGTGTGTATGTGTGAGAGAGGCTAGTGGTGTACATACATACATATGTGATACATACAACAAATGCTATGGGGTTGTGAGAAGAAGAGCGCTAAGATCAATGAGGAGAGTGTATTACGGACGGCCAACGGCTCGATGGCCCAATTGTTTCTGGTTGCTGCTTCTGCTTCTGCTGCTGCTGCTGCTGCATGTATTCAAATGTTGAACGCTGATGTAGAGATGTGTGGGTGCACTGCTTTAGAGAATCAAAGTTGGGCGTAGTTCGGCAAAGGTCGGGCAGTTGGTAAGACATTGGATTGATCGCTTCGTCCCAAAAACAAACAAAAAAGTGTCCAGAGAGTATTAAAACCGATAGAGAGATGTTCTATTTTGCATATATCTTATATATCTGAGCTATAATAATTATAACAATCATTAATCTTCTCTAATTTGGCAGAACGGTCAAACAGCTCTGAATATTGCGCATAATCTTGGCTACGTCACAGCTGTGGAGACTCTCAAGGTAGTTACACAAACATCTATTGTCAACAAGACGACAGGCGTGCTGGAGGAGAAATACAAGGTTGTCGCTCCCGAATTGATGCACGAGGCACTACTGTCCGATTCCGAGGACGAAGGTGGTGAAGATCTATTGGATCACAATCAATATAAATACATGGCGACCGATGATTTAAAAACCTCGAATGAGCATGATCATCAGAACTATGACACTACAAATCCAGATAATGATCAGCTAGATGGAATGGGTGGGCGTAGTGTTGAAAGAGGTGAGCTTTCTATAATGTTTGTAAGCCAGATAGTGTATGGCACACTAAACTAATTGCAGTTCAAGCATTAACTGTTTCCTATCATTAAAATGGTCTTCTCGTTCAAGAAATCACCGAAGTGGTTAGACACAACCTGAACACGTCTGCCCCAAGGCCAAACGATAATGTGTCCATCATAAAGCCTCCGGTTCATCTGGGGTAGGTGCCGATCGGTCCATTTCATGTACATAGGAGACTAATTTATTGTTGTTGCAGTTTCCTAGTTTCGTTCTTGGTGGATGCACGTGGCGGTTCGATGCGTGGCTGCCGACACAGTGGTGTGCGTATAATTGTACCACCCAAGGCCTGTTCGGAGCCAACTCGCATCACATGTCGTTATGTGAAGCCGCAAAGAGTAACCAATCCGCCGCCATTGATGGAGGGCGAGGCATTGGTCAGTCGAATTTTGGAAATGTCTCCAGTTGAGGGCAAATTTTTGAGGTAAGGTAGACTTTCCAAATGTATTTTCTCATGGTATTTACAGAGATGATAATGATGCAGATAAAGTAATTGTCCCCTGAATATGTTTTTTGTAGCCCAATTGTGTTGGAGGTGCCGCACTTTGGTTCGTTGCGCGATAAGGAGCGCGAGATCATTATTTTGCGATCGGATAATGGTGAGAGCTGGCGTGAACACACCCTATACGAGAATGAAGAGAATCTGTTGGAGGCCCTCAATGAGGCTATCGATGCGGATGTAAATCCACTCGAGGATCTGCACACAAATCGCATAATACGGATTGTGACGCAAAATGTACCGCACTTCTTTGCTGTGGTCTCGCGCATACGCCAGGAGGTGCACGCAATTGGACCCGATGGAGGGACCGTTTCATCAACAGCGGTGCCACAAGTCCAAGCAATATTTCCGCCTCATGCATTGACTAAGAAAATTCGAGTCGGTCTTCAGGCACAACCAGTTGACCTGAAGGGTTGTTCCAAACTGCTCGGCCAGGGCGTTGCAGTATCACCGGTGGTGACCGTGGAGCCACGTCGTCGCAAGTTCCACAAGGCGATCACACTGAGTATTCCGGCTCCCAAAGCCTCAACGCAGGGCATGATAAATGCACCTTACAGCGGCACCAATGCGCCCACCTTACGACTGCTATGCTCGATAACTGGCGGCCAAAGCCGTGCCGTGTGGGAGGATGTCACCGGCTCGACTCCACTAGCCTTTGTTAAGGACAGCGTGACATTTACCACAACTGTCTCGGCGCGCTTCTGGCTAATGGACTGCCGCAACATTGCTGACGCCAGCCGCATGGCCACCGAGCTCTATACATGCATGACTCAGGTGCCGTTCGTGGTCAAGTTCGTAGTGTTCGCCAAGCGAATCTCTGCAACGGAAGCAAAGCTTTCGGTGTTCTGCATGACCGACGACAAGGAGGACAAGACGCTCGAGCAACAAGAGTATTTCAGCGAGGTGGCGAAGAGTCGCGACATTGAGGTTATGGAGGATCAGAACATTTATTTGGAGTTTGGCGGCAATTTGGTGCCGGTATTGAAATCTGGCGAACAGCTGAACATGAAGTTCCAGGCGTTCCGAGAAAACCGCCTCTCATTCATCGTACATATCAAGCACCAGGATGAGCCGCACGCCCGCATCTGCTTCATGAGCGAGCCAAAGGTGGGTCCTGGTGAGGCGCCATTGCAGCCGATTTGTGCGTTGAACGTATCACTGGCCGATCAGCCAGACATTGGCCAAAACGGCAATGGCAACGGTAATGTAGGCGGCAGTCGCAAGAGCCTAAGCAATTTGGCCATCGATCATGGCCTCCACTATAAGGATTTAATAAATGCCGAGATTAGAGCCAACGCTGGAAAGGCCGAGAATAAAATACAACAGCAACTCCAGCAGCAACAACAACAGCCCCTAGCAAGAGGCCACCTAAATGACCTGGGCTCCAACGAAAGTATACATCGCGCAGATTTACGGCTGTCGGATATAAGCAACATGCTGGGCAAAGACTGGCCGCAGCTGGCTAAAGAATTGGGTGTACCCGAGGCCGACATCGAGCTAGTCAAAGCTGAGTATCCCGAGCACACAGCACAACAGACCATGGTTATGTTGCGACTCTGGCTACGCACTGAGGGCCCACAGGCCACAGGCAATGCCATGGCACAGGCATTAAACAAAATTGGCAGATCCGACATCGTCGACAAGTGTATATTTAATTTAGAGCCCGTGACCGATGAGCTGGAACGCGATATGGCCGCCGCCAGATTACAATTGCACGCACCCCAAGAACCATTGGGTGATCTATCCGATGGCCTTAACGAAACTCTTAATATTGCTTCCCTTAGCTTGGACGAAAATGCGACCGTCCAGCCCCAGAAAATAGTTGAGTCCATAGAGACATTGGTGTCGCATGCGCCACAGTTCTCCCAACCTGAAAACGATAACAATGGTAAGTTCTGAATAATATTGATATTGTTACTAAAATAGACACGAAAAGTTAAAGTCTAACTGCCACAATCTACAAAACTATAGCTTTCAATTTCTTTGGAATATTTATATCGTTGGGAAGAGGTTCATCTGGGAATCCATTTCTACTTTCACTAACTCACTCTATATCTCTTCCTTAATAGGCAGTACAGATTTCTGCACTACGCCGCCACCAACGCCAAGCGAAACTATAACCGATATACTGACGAACGAGCATGATATTGACGCCATACGTCAAATTGCAAATGAGCACACAAAGCAGGTGCTGGAGCTGGCGCAGGAGAACATTGAACAGAGAGGTAAATGAAATGAATTTCAATTTCGGCCACAATGATTTCTTATGAATCACACTTTCCATAAAGCCCGCCAAGCGGCTTTAGATTTGGAAATACAGCCTGAAGACAAGCTCATTCACAGTCTGGCTTGGGCAGTTGGGCAACATGAACAGCAGCAGCCGAACAATGTGCAGCCTTCGGGAGACAACTATGAGGACGTGCTTGTCCAGACCCTTGTAACAAAGTGCAACCAAGCACCTCTGCCTGCAAATCTCACCGCCTTTGCTGAGGATTTGGCAGCTGGTTCGGGTGATCCGCAAAAAAGCGTCACAACAGTGACCACAATCCAAACGAGCAAAAATGGAGAGCAGCCTACGGACACCGTGACGACGATAACTACCACAACCAAGACACTAACCAGTGAGAATCAAACGGCTTAAGATTCTGGCAATCCAAATCCTGATTGAGAATGAACAGCTGCAAAATTAATATTAAAATAAACATGCAATGAGGCAATGAGCGAATTGGCAGAGAAGTATCCATCGTTTGGTTTTCCTTAAATGTGTACTTCTCCTCTTCGTTACTGCATATCGAGCAATATATATATTTATATATATATATACATACATATATTTATCAACATACATACATATTTCAAATTGTTGCATGCGAAAAGTATTTGGAAATGTTCATGCAAATTATTTTAAGTACATATATGCATGCATATAATATCTATGATGTATACATAAATATATATGTGTGTGTATATTCAGATTTTATTATTTGTCAATACATTATATCTTGCGTATTATTCATTATATTATATTAAAAAAGAGGAAAGAAGAAAAGAAACCAGCTCAATGCAGAGTTCTAAATAGAGAGCGAAACTCGAGCGACCTTCAAGCGCGGTTGAACCGGTTCAACCCATTTTTCGAAGCCGCCGAACTCTGTTATATTGAGCCGTAGACCGTAAATATTTATCGAAGAAATTGTTGAATTATATATACGCCACTGGCTATTATATGTATGACATAAAGTTGTTGTTGTCTTATTTGGTATGGGCTAGTGATATTGGAAGTATGTACATACATATGTATATGAATTGCAAGCAAAAACTTCAACATATCAATCTTTTCACATTTTTCCGCTTTCAAGAAGAGTCCGCAGTTTAAGTTGTTTAATACACGATTTGTTTCAATGATTTGTTTGTTGCAAGTATTTAAATAGAATGAATTTAAACTCTTTTTGATCATGATAGGGATAGGGAAGACGAAAAAGGCATTAATTTTGTCTTCACTCAAAGCAATTTAAAGCTCCATTAAACAGCATTAACAGTTAGTTTGGCAAACCGTTCAGTTAGATCGGATTCGATTTGGCAAGAATTTTAGTATTTGGCATCACTGGCGACATGCGATTTGGTCACACTAAACCAGGGCTGCGATCGATTGCCGACTGTCGAAAAACGCGTGCAGATACAGATACTGTATCTTCGAGTTGCAATTGCAAAATATAGTGAGAAAAGTAACCAAGAAGGATAAATTAAAAGTAATTTCATCGCTCACACTCTTTTTCGTGGAATTCATACAAATGGCGACGCGGCTTGTACATGTGTTCAATTGATAATTTAAATCGTGCTGCCTACCAAAAAATAGAAATAAGGAAATGCGAATCGCTAACGTTCATATTGTATTTTTATCAAATGTATCTGAGTCATGTGTGTGCTCGCCGCTCATATGAGTCCACCACAAACACACACACACACACGTATGTAAATATGTACGCACATGACCGCGACGGATGTCTCTATGCCTTGAGATCGATCAGAAGAGCCTCCCCTCATATTGTGTAGGTGTTGCGTGATTTTGTTGCCAAAATGCTGGCACAGGCAGGTTTTTCAATTCTGTCGCTCGTTATATTATCAATATCCAAGTGCATATACTTGTAGTACATACATATCTATATACATACATATGTACATACATACATGCGTATGAATGTACTTATGTACGTATGAATGTTGAAGCTATCGGGGTTTGAAACAATTTCGACAGGCCAAGCAATTGTCACATCGGGTATGAGTCAGAATTCAAAGTCTGCCACCGCTTAGAAAATGAAGTGGCAGCGATAATTGCTGGTCTTTATTCTTCGGATACTTGGAAGGAATGCCGGCAAGTAACTGCAGTCGCAACTGCATAGATACATATTTAACCACGTCTATGTATGTATGTACATACTATACATATGTATATATCCATAACTTGTTATTGCCGAATTAGCGATAGCTGATTGAGTACATTTCGCATTCCGCATTACGCAATTTTTTATATCAGTTCATGGCCAGAAGCTGTAAAATTAGACGACAGAACATATTTGTTGTTGACACGGGCCCTGGGCGGTAAATTTTCTCATTAATTGGTCGCTATTAGTGCGACTAGCGCTCAGTGTTGGCCTGGCCTTTGGCTGAGATTCCCAACGGTTTTTGTTTTTTTTTTAATTAGTCGAGTAGTCAGTCAGGCGGCCGGCAGTTGAGTTGCTTCAAGAAACAACTCACATATAGTCGTATACGTACAAGTACTACTCGTATATTGTAGCTGAGAGGTCTGGCAACATCTGCAGGATGTAGGGCGCAGGCGCCGGCGCCAATTGTGTGAACAAAAATGTGGGGGGCCCAGTTCATAAACAGAACACAACACCACCCACAAGACAAAAGGAAGGAAAAATGAAAAAGCAGTAGGCATCGTTGGCATCTTTATTGATTATGTACAAGTCGCTGTCTGAAAACTCAAAAGACGAAATCACATACTCGCCGTGCATAGGAAATCATAATTCTCATAGAATACATTTAAATATACTTGTATATGTATTTAAAACGCCCGCTCGTTTCAGGGAACCACGCAAATGCATTAGTCGCGATGAATATGCCATTGAACGGCACCTGGAAAGGAATGAGTGCAATTTTAAAAAGTCGTCGTTGTCATCATCTTTTAAGTCGTCAACAGCAAGTCGTCAAGAAACAATACGAAACGGTCATATTTTGTAAATTTGTTTATCGGCAATCATTGTTAATTAACGGGCTTCAGGCCATGCGTGAAACGCAATCTAAATGCTTAACAGAAACATATTGAATGCATTTCTAAATGTGAATATCTGAAATCTGATTTGGAAGCAGAAGCCTTCACAGAATTCTCTAACAGTGACTCAAGGAAGCAACCAAACAACCAACTCACAAGTGAGCAAACAAAATTGAAGGAAATATAAAAGAAATAATCGTCGCGTGTGTACCAAATAAATATACATACATACATACATATATAAAAAAAAAACTTCAAGTCAAACCAAATAAAAGCAATTGAAATCAAAAATCAAATCAGCTTATCCATAACGATAGCTATAGCCACTACTATACTGTCTAAATATTCGTTGAGGATTAACAGTGATTGAGTGATAGACGATATTGTTTGCGGTCCGTGTGTGTAACTAGAATTTTGGCACGTCATTACCATTGGCTTGTCAAACAAACGCGTATTTTCTCCGAGCGAGCGTCATTTCGTAATGAATTCAGTTAAAAGTGCGGCAAAGCAGCAGGTGGAAATCGGGCTATTCAAGAGGAGGTTGCGCAAACGGCGAGACGGTTGCGGTGCGGCATCCCCATCAAGAGAAAGGACGACGCCGAGGACGACGACGTCAGTGGTGGCTGGGGAAATCTATAACTTGGCCTACTGTGAGGCGCTACTCGATCTGGTGCTATTGCAGAAGGAATACGTAAAGCAGTTCTTCTTTGAGAAGCGTGTGGGCAGCGGAGGACTGCCGGGGGTATCGCAACATCGGGGCTCCTGCCCGTGCCTCGTGGACGGCATCACCGCCAGCTTTGGATGATTGACGACAATACGGGTACGGGGCTACAGCATTACTACTGCCAAAGCCGCCAGCCTAGATACTAAAAAGCCACATAGGGCTTCCTCTCTCACCTCCAATTATATATTCGGTCGCACTCGGCGACAGCGACAGCGTCAGCGCAAACGCAAGCGCTTCAAATTTTGTAAACGGAAGAGGAAGCGTTTGCCTCTCGACTGTGGTTATAGTCGTGATCGTTGTGGTGGTGCTGGTGAACTTTGGCACGGATCTTCCTCTTCGTCGTCCTGTGTGCCTCGCATCTGTGTTGTCGTCGCGCGCCAAAATGGTATCACATAGAGGGTTGTCAGTCATTAATTTACCATTTGTTACCAACGGCCTTTTAATGCCTGACTCCGGCTCCGGCTCCGGCTCGTCCCCCTCGTTCCCCTGCTGGGTGGCTCGCGAGTTGCGCAGCTGACATCGCCGGCTGCCAAAATTGCCGCCAGTGGCGACTTCAGTTGTACAAAGACAATCAAATCAAACCGAAGTGCGAGTCAAACGCAAAGTGAGAAAATTGTATACTAAGCAAACTACATGTAAACAAAAGAAAAAAACGTTTCGATATCAACATATATATACACACACATATATACATACGTGTATATATACGAGTATATATACATACATATATACATAAATACAGATTAGAATATTTGTGCGATCATCATCGCAATCGCAATCAGCGCTCGATTGTGTGCGACTCCCCTTTCTCGATACCAGACTCAATCCAAGCTGAGATTCAAAGGGAACAGTCTCCACAAAAATGTCTGGCAGTCAAGACGGTGGCGCTTGCCTGCTGGCCGTTGCAGATGAGGCTGTTGCCAGGCACGAGTTGCTGCCCCTCCATGCCCTTCTCGATGGCAGCAGTGGACAGTCGCATTTGCATTCGCATTCGCATACCCACTCCCATCCTCAGCATCAGGAGCGAACGAACCTCCACTTTCCCCGCATCGCAACCAAAAACAACATGTTGAAGCTGAATTGGTGGCATTCACCGACTCAGCCGATCGATCTGGTGGCATCCTATGCCCGCGCACACGAGCAACAACAACAGCAATTGTTGCAGCAGACGCGGGGACAGCATCCACCACATCTAATTGACAATAACAATACGGCTGCCCAAAGCAGCCTCAACACCCCGGCCAAGTCGACGCCCACACGCCTGCATCTAGATGGCAAGGATCTGAAGCTTTTGGGAGCCGGGGACGGGTGTAGCTTGGAGGGTGAAGACGAAGACTTCGATCTACAGGACTCCCAGCTACTTGTCGGTGGTAAGTCACATGGTTGCTTTCCTTTCTTTACAATTATACTGTATTCCTATGCCCTGCTAAATATTTTGAACAAATCACGAATTACACTTTCAAGCGACTTCTCGACTTATGTTTTTGTTTTTCATTTCATTTTTGTGGGTTCTATGAGTCAACAGTCATTTCCGATATGGGTTCAATAGTGAGTTTGTCAAAAGAACGAAACCTTTTGAACCAAAAGTATGCAGTCCTTTTTAAACTCCATTATCACTAGTCTCTACAAACTCTATGTATGTATGTATGTATGTAATATTTATGTACATAATATACCAGCTTGTACGTTTGTCATAGCAACAATGAACGAATTGTTGAGCTTCTCAAGATAGGTGGCTCAAATGTAATGGTTGAATGTGTGTTTCTTTCGCAATTCAGAAAGTTCCCTCTTTTTTTTCGCAGTCTACTGTTTGCAATACAATGTAGTATATACTTAATAATTATCTATGCTAACTGTTCATTTTGAGAACATATGATTCGACGCTATTTGATAACTCGAATTGAGTTGTGCGCGTGACAGAACTTGATGACAAACTCACGATCACGCACGATTTAAAACAAATATTGTTTACCATTGCAGAAGGTTTAATGAAAATTGTTTCCATTTTCGAGTTAGTATGTTAGTGTCATTAGAGTTCTAGTCCACAAAATATCCTTAGATGTTCACATCTGTTTCTCTCATTGGTTTTTAAAATATTTCCGTTTACATTACTCAGTAGGGTTTCAATATTTCCTTAATGAATCAGATTCATTTGCGAAGCTGGCGCTACCTCTGTAGCTTCTGTTTAGCTTTCTACATTTTTTCGTAGTCATAAATTTCACAATAATTTTGACAGAATGTGACGCTGACGAAGTTGACGGCGCTTTTTGATCTTTCACGATCGCACAACTATAAACTCAATAGCCAATTGGCTGGGGTCCCTCACCTATTCATTGTTCATTCATTGTTATCACATTACACTAACTAATAAATCAAATCGATAAGTTCTTATAGCTATCTTGAGATTATTTCAATGTAATACCTTTACCTCGAAACTATAAGAGGGTATTTCATAATACTTTAGAAATACTATAGATGCATAATTCCGTTCACACCTTGATATGCAATTTCCGCTCTCCCTCGAGCTGGTTTTTTATACTCATGCGAATGGTATACTGGGTTTAGTCTGATAATGTAATGTATAGTATTGCTAGAAGAAGGTGTATCGGACGCTATGGTACTGGTATTTTACAACATATGTAAGGCATGAGCTTAAGGATAATTTCTAACTGCAATAGGAAATTGAAATATCGAAACCACTTTGCGTATTGGAATGTTTATTGGTATAATTGCAAAGTTTCAATTGGATCCGAATATTATAATATATAACTGCCACGGGAAGGATAAATCTCTCTAGATAGTTTTTCATTTTTATTATTGTTATGCTGCGCAATCAGCCAGCAGATTTGGACATAACATGACAGTTTGACATTTTTTAGATATGAAAACACTCTAAAACTGCCAGTAATTTTTAAAATCATGCTTGCAGTTTGAATCGGATTAACCGTTCGGATCAAATATCATATAGAAACAATAAGAACGATATGCTTATAAGTTATTTAAAGGATGAGTGGCTCCTTGGGAAGGGCTGCAGGTTTCGGCGCACCGCTTCGTTTCAAACGAATATACTTTTTTCTACCTTCCAGCACACAGTGTAGCGAACACCCACACTTAATTACTTCGCTAGCTACCAATATTTTAAATCGCATTTCAACTTTTCAAAATTTCAAATTGAAGAGTTGAAAACAACTGGGCCGGTCTTTGTTGTTACATATAATATATATATATACATATATTGCTAAAATGTATTACAAAGTATGTGGTAAGAGCTACCGATTACTATTGAAGTAACGATCGCAATCGCAAAATTTATGATTAACCAAACAATCAATAGCCCCCAACCCCCCAATGTATATACATATTTGCTTAAAAATGTGTGTTCGATTTATTAATTGAGTCAAAATTCAATCAATTAGGCCATTCGGGAATTGTTTAGTGCAGTCAACATAAATTGCTGTGAGTTGGAGAAATACTTGTAGTCAACTAATTAACTTCAATTGGTATTCTAATTCCAATATCAATTCTGGGGCACTCACAACTAGGAAATGGAAAATACGTGCTAGGGCGAACACGGAACAAGTAATCGAAATACGAATTTTCGGCCGCAATAGATCCAAGTTTATATTGAGAATGTCTTATAATGTGTGTCTTTAAAAGGCACGAACGGATCGACTCGGATCGAGTAGAGTCGATTCGAGTCGGATCGACTGTTACCGGGCCCGGTGAGGGTTAAGGCAAACAGCTCAAAACAGATCAGAGTTGAGCCGATCAGAGTTTTAAAAGCAATTTACAGTCACGCGTCGGCTTCTATTCGGTTCAGTTCAGTTAAGTTCGCTTAGCGGTTCGCCCTTGAGCACATCCGACTCTGACTCTGACTGTGACGTATCGAGAGCATTGGTGAAGTGGTTGCGTGGTTGTCATAGTTCGCTTAGCAGCAGCGGCAATACCAGAGCTCTGTGGTGGTGGTGCTGGTGCTGATGGTGGTGGTGGTGGTGGTAGTGCTTGTGCTTTTGCTTGACATACGCGTGGATGGCGTTGCCGACGTCTCAAGATATGCTCGTATTCGCCGTAAACAACTCATTAAGCAACAGATAAAAATAAAAATAAAATTTTGCCACTCGACTTCTTGATCAATTGACTCTTCAGATCCCGCTCCGCCCCGCCCCGCCCCGCTCCTCTCCGTTCAACTCTTCTCTGCTCTGTTTTGTTCTGTTCTGTTCTGCTCTCTCAATTCAGTGTCTGCTATCATAATTTGTTCTTTATTTAGAGTTCCATAATTAATTACGGAGCTGGCACTTACTTGTATTATTTAGGTAGGCAGTTGGCTACGGTCGCCACCTCTCTGTCTCCATTGAGAGCAAGAATAACGAGCCAAGATGGCCAAGAGAGTCAACAACAACAACAACAGCAACAACAACTACTACGAGAACAATGACAGTTTAATCGCAGCTGCAGGTGCTGCGAACTCACTCGAATGCAAATGCAAATGTAAATACAAACGTGAATGCGAATCCGAAAGGCAATCGGATTGAGGGTGCTTGGTGCGGGTGCGACTCTATATTGAAGCGCGGATGTGACGCGGCAGTCGATCGATCGATCGGTCGATGGACCGCTCCACCATATTGCAGGCAAAAAAAAAAAAAAAAAAACAACAACAACAAAATGAGCAAGAGAACAAAATGATAAACGCATAAGACACACAATAATGCCATAAGCGTCTGCACAGAATTATTGAAATGTAAATATTATATGCGCCACCACTGTCTGAAAAAACAAAAACAAAAAGCAAAACACAAAAAAACGCTGATGAGCGAAACTCGAACGCTCGCCGTGTCGCCGTCGTCGCCATCGTCGACGTCGTCGCTGATGTCGTCGTCGTCGTCAAGTCACTTCAATTAAGAATTCGAATGCGAGTACATGTCTCGATTTTCAATAATTTTTATTTTCATTTTTTTTTGAACATTTTGTGCAAGTGCGCCAAATTTTTAATTGACAAATGTTATTGAAAACTTATGTATATTTTGTGTGCGTGTGTGCGTGTGAGTGTGTGTGTGTGTGTGTGTGTGAGAGAGTGTGTGTGTGCGTGTACCTTTTCGTGCCCGGCTCTTGTCTCTTCTTTAAGTTTTTTAAGTGGGGCTTTTTTTGTTTGTTTTTGTTTTTTTGAGCTCCTCGTGCTATCGGCCATGTGTATGTTTTCAACTTGTTGTGTGCTGCAACAGCAATCGTCGTCAGATGAAGTAATTAATTATGGGGCCCTATAAACAAATAAACGTATAAAAGGCAGCAGGCATAAAAAATTCCCAGTGCGAACGGGAAGCGGAGCGGACTGGAGTCGCATTCCTATAACTCGTGTTCCCTCTCATGCTAACGATCGTATACGAAATTATGTACAGATGTACATACATACATACATACATACATGTATGTATATGTATGCATGTATGTATGTACATATTTATACTACGAGCTGCTTATCAATCTGCCTTAATCTATCCGCTGCCTATTGCGATTAGGCCCCATACGTAGTCGCCCGTCTTCAAGAACAGAGTAATTATAGAAGAATCGGCAACGGCAACGAGTCGTCCATAAGTGTTTTCCCCAATCTCAGTACGCGTGCTGATTGCGATGTGTATGGGTGTGGTGGATGTGGGTGGGTGTGTGTGTGTGTGTGTGTGCGAAGTTTTAAGGGAAAAACCAGTCGGTTTATCACATTGCCCTGCAAAAATAGAATGAAAGAAAAAAATTGCTCTTTATCTTGATTTTGGTAGCATTTTCTTTGGAATGCGGTAAAAAACGTGCCAAATAAAAGCCGAAAATGCGATTCATACCTATTAACTAAATAATACCATGAAAGACGAACGTTTCAGTCACAGCCAGTCTGATTTTCAATTTATATTTCATTTTCACGCCGTAACTCCAAGCGCGCAGTTTGAAAAAAAAAAAAACACAAACGCTAAAAACTTAACTGAAGGAAAAGAAAAAATACAAAAATAAAAAATGCATTTGGTGTCGCTGTAGCCAAAGAGAAATCGGTTGTCTAATAATGCACTCGTAACTACATTACGGACAAGGTTATTCGAACTTCAAGTAACCCACTCGCACACACCTACACACGCACATACATACACACCAACACACAGGCACACACACACACACTCACTGCACATGACAAAGTTCTGCGGCTCGTTGCCAACTTGAAAAGAGTTCATATTTGAGGTGAAAGAAATAAAAAATCAAATCCGAAATATCGGACCCTCTCTACGAGAAACTGATGACGAGCCCAGACATCTTTCGAGGTATATAAATATAGTATAAGTATTGTGTATAAGCATGCATATGATACTCTAGAATACAAGTACAATACACGAAGTCGTCCTACGTTGAATGAATCCTTCGATTCCAGATCCAAAGCCATGCATTGGTGTATTGAACCAAAGTCAGGAGGACGAGATGAAAATATGCGGCTATCAGCGTTCACGCATGCGCACATTTCTCTGCTGGATTTGCATATGCCTGACAGCCGGACTGCTGCGTCTGGTGCTCCACTGGTGGCGTCATTGGTATCTCTTTGCCACATGCCGCCCCTGCCCCCTCCAGGATGCCGAACAGGTGCTGGTCGAAGAAGACTACCAGGGAAAGCACAAAGTCTACCATGTGAAGACTGTCAGCAACCTGACCGTAGAGGACTTGAGGTGAGCACTCTTTAACCCATGTGTCTATATAAATCTATACATATATATATATATGGATATATTCATATTTATCGATCGATATGTTCCATTTCAGCAAATGCTTGCTACAACAAGCACACACCGTCGAAACCCCAAGATCCCCAGAAAATTTGGATGAGACCAAATTGCAATTGTCGGTGCACTTCTCCTCCGCTCAGTTCAAAAGTAAACTTACATTCGTTTTATTACGTCATATACTATACTTATATTTGAGTGGGGGGTACGGGGGGGTATGGAAACAGACAATTAACAGATAATACATACATATATACATTCTGCAGACTAGTTTAAATATGACTATAATTTCATAAAAAGGTTCATTAAAAGGTTAGCCGGGGACTTAGCTAGAAATATACATATGTACGTTTGAATTGCTGGTCTCTTTAATATCAGTTATCCTTTTTATTCAGATTGTCGCAGCCTCCGAATTTTTCGGTGCAAACAATTGGTCTATGCCTGGGACGCCAGCACGAATTCGTTTAATAAAATTAATGGATTGGATTGTAATGTGCCCTGTTCGTATTTCCATCAGCAGCGGGGTCTGTCGGAGCAGGAGCAGCTGTCGCGACGGATTGTTTACGGTTCCAATGAAATAACCGTGCCATATAGAGATGTGAAAACACTGCTGTTCTTGGAAGTCCTTAACCCCTTCTATGTATTCCAAATCTTCTCCGTCATTCTGTGGTTCACCTATGACTATTACTATTATGCCTGTGTCATAATACTGATGTCGGTATTCGGCATTGGCATGTCCATTATACAAACCAAAAAGGTACCCTAACTATGCTATATAACAATAATGAAACTTGGATTTGCATTTGAATGTGTTCTGATCAATCCGTGGCTTGTGTGCTTTCAGAACCAAGACGTCTTGCAGAAAACTGTGCTCAATACAGGCAATGCCTGGGTAGTCAATCCGAAGGGCGTCTCCAAAGAGGTGCCCACACAAACTCTCGTGCCCGGTGATATAATTGAAATCCCCTCCAGCGGCTGTACGATGCAATGCGACGCAGTCCTCCTCTCAGGCAACTGCATTCTCGATGAGTCGATGCTAACTGGGGAGAGTGTGCCAGTCACAAAGACTCCGTTGCCCATGAAGCGTGATGTGATTTTCGATAAAAAGGAGCATGCACGGCACACCTTGTTCTGTGGAACGAAAGTCATTCAGACGCGTTACATCGGATCCAAAAAGGTGCTGGCCTTCGTCATTAACACTGGCAACATTACAGCTAAGGGAGGACTCATCAGATCGATTCTCTACCCGCCGCCTGTGGACTATAAGTTTGAACAGGACTCCTATAAGTTTATTCAGTGCTTGGCGTTGATCGCTTGTGTTGGCTTCATTTATACCCTTGTGACAAAGGTAAATATCTGGTCCCGATTTGCTTCTCTAAAACTAAGCTCGATGTTGAATCCTTCTAGATATTGCGTGGAACGGACGGCGTGAAAATAGCAGTAGAATCCTTGGACTTAATAACCATTGTGGTGCCGCCGGCTCTGCCAGCTGCCATGACTGTTGGTCGCTTCTATGCTCAGAAGCGCTTAAAGAAAAATGATATATTTTGCATAGCTCCGCGTTCTATCAACGTTGCTGGTAGCATAGATTGCTGTTGTTTCGATAAGGTGAGTGGCTGTAATGCTGGATCTCACTTAATTCTGATGTATGCCCCACAATTTCAACGTCTCTGCAGACCGGCACGCTCACCGAAGATGGCCTGGATATGTGGGGTGTGGTGCCAAAGTCCTCAACGAACCAGTTTCAAATACCACTGAAAGATGTTCAGCGTTTGCCTTACGACAATTTTCTCTTCGGCATGGTCACCTGTCATTCTATAACCGTACTGAATGGTCAAATGATGGCTGATCCATTGGATTTGAAAATGTTCCAATCGACTGGCTGGATACTCGAGGATTCCAAAAACGTACCTGAAAACGAAAAATATGGCCTGATCTATCCAACGATTCTCCGTCAACCGAACCGAGGCGATGTACAGCCGAATTTAGCGCTAACAGAGACAGCTGGGGTGCAACGGCAATCGTCCGTAGATGATTTGCTCGCCAACGTTGGTTTGTCGCAGGCCGAGAAGAACTACGATCACGGCATTGTGAGGGAGTTCCCCTTTACGTCTAGTCTGCAGCGCATGTCTGTCATAACGCGTTGTCTGAGCGCCCAGGGATTCAATGTCTATTGCAAGGGTTCTCCCGAGATGTTGCAGCAATTGTGCCATCCCCAGAGCATCCCAGATAACTACTCCCAGCAGCTTTCAACATTCACCAAAAAGGGCTATCGAGTCATTGCCATGGCATTCAAAACCCTCAGCCCGAAGCTGAACTATACCAAGGCACAAAGGTTGTCCCGTGAAGAGGTCGAACATAATCTAGAATTCTTGGGCTTTGTCATACTCGAAAACCGTTTGAAGCCCGATACGACAGAGGTAATCAATTCGCTGAGCGCGGCCAATATACGGACGATTATGGTAACTGGCGATAACATTCTGACCGCGATGAGTGTCGCACGCGATTGTGGCATCGTGAGTCCCTCGCAGGCTGTGATTACGGTGCATGCGGCACCGCTGGACCATCATGCCGGACAAAGACCTGATCATGTGCAGTATGAATTGCAATATACTCTGGATCTGGGCAGCAAAACTTGCACCACTATCGGCGCCCCACTCGCACTCAACGGGAACAACTTTAAGGAGCAGAATCACTCCTTGGTAAATGGCGTCGTGCCTCCTTCTACGCCGAGTAGTTGCGCTCCGAGCACCCTGCCGAATAGCGACAGCCTAACCAGCGTAAAGACTTGCGCCACCTGGACCCACAACGATGAGGATGTCGAGCTTGGCACCCCAATGGGAATGGGCGCATCGCCAGGGGACTCACGGGACTACGAGTATCGCCTGAGCGATAACTGGCGCAGACATTACACTTTCGCTATGGACGGAAAGACATGGCAGGTGGTGCGAGATCATTTTCCGGATCAAATGGAGATACTGTTGACCCGCGGCGTCATCTACGCCCGCATGTCTCCGGAACAGAAACAGGCGCTGGTCATGGAACTGCAAAAATTGGACTATTGTGTGGCTATGTGTGGAGATGGTGCCAACGATTGTGGCGCTTTGAAAGTTGCACACACCGGCATTTCACTAAGTGAAACGGAATCTTCGATAGCATCTCCCTTCACATCCCGTAATCCCACAATCGCGTCCGTCCCTCACGTTATTAAGGAGGGACGAGCGGCCCTGGTTACATCGTTTGGCATTTTTAAGTACATGGCAGCCTATTCGCTGGTTCAGTTCATATCTGTCATGATACTCTACTCGATTGACTCAAATCTGACGGACAAGCAATACCTATATATTGATTTGGGTCTGTTATCGGTCTTTGCCTTCTTCTTCGGCAAGACCGATGCGTATGCAGGTCGGTTGGCGAAGCAAGTGCCGCTCAGTTCGCTGATATCGCCAGCACCCTTGGTCTCCCTCGTGCTTCATATATGTGTGGTGATTGTCTTCCAAGTGGCTGGTGAGTAGATCATTGGCATTAATTCATCACTAAACAAAAAATGCTCACTTTTTTTTTATAATCGTGTTCTGTTCCAGGTTGGTACCAGGTGCACCAACAGAGCTGGTTTGTGCCATTTCAACATTCTAACGAGGAGCATCTCGGGTGCTATGAGAACTACACCATGTTCGCCATATCCTGCTTTCAGTATATCATACTTGCCATCGTGTTCTCGAAAGGTGCTCCCTATCGGGCCGCCATCTGGTCGAATTGGCCGTTGTGCCTAGCTCTTGTGCTTAATATTTGCATTGTCACCTACCTGATTGTCTATCCGACCGAGTGGGCGGCCGATTTCTTCCAGTTGATTGTGCCGCCGGAAATGAACTTTCGATATTATATGATCATATACGGCGTTCTCAATTTTGTGGCTCACATCGTCATCGAAACCTTTGTGATCGAGTACTTAGTATTCAAAAAATTCCAAGTACGTCGTGATCAAAATGCGAAGACATCGACCCGCAAATACATGCGGCTGGAAAACAACATTCAAAAGTTCGAAAATTGGCCGCCCATAACGGAAGTGTACGAGCCACACGATCCATCCACAGCTGAGGAGGTGAAACCGACTTATGTGAACCTGGGCGCCGAACAAGACTTGGATATGCCAAAGCACAGTGCCTTCCCCGGGTTCTTCGAGCCAGAGATGAATGGACAGCAAATCCGTCAATTGCCCAGTCCAGAGCCCTTGAAGGCGTCGGCTCTGCAAATCTGAAATTCAAAGGATAACACAGGATGAAGAACACGACAGTTACCTAACGTATGCCTACGCATCTGCGCATGCGTAGCGCCAACCCATTACTTACACATACAGCCGACATACATATTCAAATAATTCATTTTGGGAATGCCCTTGTAGCATAGCTTTTAGTAATTTAGGCGACGGTATTGTCACTATTATTATTATTATCATTATGATTATGATTATTATCTATCATTTGTGTCTATTTTTAGTCCATGTACGTTTTGGTATATTGTAAGTACTCTGTGTGTATATCATCTGAAGAATTTGTACTTATTCGCCCTATACTTGTGCTTACATGTATGCATATTATACATACTTTGATGTAGCTTAGGACCTAGGAAAGGGTTAGTTGGAAATTGTTAATATTTTTATACCCTGTACCCAAAGGGTACAAGGGTATATTAGTTTTGTGCGAGTGCACATGGAACACACAGAAGGAGGCTTGGTAGACCCCACAAAGTATATATATTCTTGATCAGCATGACAAGCCGAGTCGATATAGCCATGTCCGTCTGTCCGTCTGTCCGTCTGTCCGTCTGTCTGTCTGTCTGTCTGTCTGTATGAACGCAAGGATCTCCGAAAGTATAAGAGCTAGAATAACCAAACTTGGTATACAGATTCTCCTGAGACCGAGAAAGGACGAGTTTGTTCATTTTTTCTGATCCACCCCCCCACTCCCCCCCTATTAACGATTTTCTATAACTCCCGTAATTCTTGGAATTTTGAACTAAAATTTGGTAGACACATCCAGTTAGTAATTGTATATCCGTATACCAAGTTTCATTATGATAGAATGATCGGAAAGAAAGTTATAGCCATATAACCAGGCCCAATGCACACATACATACATATGTACAAGTACACAAACACGCATAAGGCACGATTCTGATGTAAATGTAAATGTATCTATGCATGCATGGAATATTTAGTTAATTAATTAAATTAATTTAGTTAATTAATTAAATTATTTTAGTTAATTAATTAATTAAATTAATTAAATTAATTAATTTAATTAAATTAATTAATTATTTTAATTAAATTAATTTAATTACTTTTTTGTGGGGTGGTACAGGGTATTTAAGAGTTGAGCCTGCTCGACTTTAGCATTCCTTTCTTGTTTTGGCATAGGAAGCACCCTATGCAATTGGATTGTATGTACATATATAGTTTACATTTTAAAAAAGAGAGTGTTGCTGGGCATGGCAAGTGGTTCGGAGGGGGGTGCGCGTATGCCTGTATATTGTTTTTGAATAGCCAATGACTACCTCTGTTTCAGGCCATATTATATGGATGCGCCTCGAATCGAGCGTTTCAGAAGCCACTGCCGATGCGGTTAGAATGCAACCCACAAAAAATACGTGTACATCTTATATTTTTAATTTATATAATGTCCATCCATCCTGTAGCAAATCAACACATAAAAACATACATAAATGTTGTTTTTTTTTTTTTTTCTTAAATGAATAAAACAGGTTATGAATTTATGCAAATAATTTCCTGCATTTTAATGGTTGGCCGCCGGAGATCGCTAACTCAATATTTATTTATATGTATGTACAATGCTTTTGATAAGTATAAGTATAGCATGTCCTTATCAGATTATAATGGCACAATTATTAAGAATGATCACTTCAGTATTGAAATAGATGGAATGTTGTTTGCGAATGCAATTAAACGCTACTTAAAGAACTTTAGCCACGGACCTGTTCCGCAATTATAACTATTATAAATTATAATTTGTTAATTTACTTAATTGAATTGTTATAAATAAAAATTTAAAAATTGAAACGTTTATTAAAAAAGTCAACACCGATGTGGTGCAAATTTATTTATTTACACACTTATATAAAACATATGGCCTGGATCGTGCTTGAACCAATCAATTTCTGCTGATCGAATATATTTCTACTTGGTAACATCTCGTACATACAAGTATATGTGTATACCAGAGAGGAGAAAAACTTCAATTATCCGGACATAATTACTCATCTTCTTTGGAACTGGCAGTTCAGGTTTCTGGCTATAGTTGCAGTGTGGAGTCGAAAGAAAGAGAAGATAGAAACGAGAAATGGGCCAGAGACCACCTCTATAAGGTGCGGAAATTAATAGTCATGAGCTAGTTTATTTAAGGTTAATACGCTAGGTCTGCTTTACAGAAGGCTTCAATGCCATGCGACTATCCTTAGGGGTGTCGCCTGCGGTTGAGTTCCTTTTCGTGAGCTTCAAATGCTAGTTAAGCTCTCTCCTTGAAGCTGCTTAATTGATATGGTGTTGAGGCAGAGAAGTTAACCAATGCAGGTTGAAGTATATGTGTCCTGCTGAATTATCGAATATATAATATGCATATATAAATAACTTCCACTTAAGTACTCAGTTCCTACAAACGCATTGATTCAGCATAATGGAATTTTGTTTTAGTAATGGTGTATATTGTAAATATTTATTTGATTAAAATTGTTCGCATACAGTTAGTTCATTTTATATTATAAAATATACGCTCCTTGAATGAGTTGAGTTTATTTTCGTTATCTGGAAGTAAATGGCTCCTAAGTAGTTATGTCCGTGTTCTAATTTCCGGTATGAAATTGAAAATTGACATTAGTGGAATTTATATTTGTATTATACTACCTAGTGCCTCACTTTAATCTAAAGTTTCATCAAAATCTGCTCGTTGTGTCTTATAGCTACCAAATAAACGATCATAGTACAATAAATTGGTCTGTTTATTGTGGTTTTTTAAATGACTCTGCCTTAAAGTTTTGCGTGATAAGTAAGTATATGTAAATATTTTTAGTTGGTATTGGTTTAATAGATTCTGTGTGTTGGTTTTTCTATGTTAAAATTTATCAACTAAATGAACTCCTAATAAAACTAGAGGCTTATTTGAGCTTGTTTAAAAATAACCAAATATCTTATCTATAATTCTTTAGGTGATAAGGTAGACGCTTTCCAGAAAAAAGTTGCTAGGTACTCTACTCACTTATGTTGAAATGATTCTAAGCTTTGGCTCAATAGATGAGTTTTCATTTGAAAAATCCTGGAAAGTGGGAAGCAGCCCAGGTTATATGATGATTATAAATGTTTGCAATTCAAATTTGCGCGCGCATCTTCGTAATTCGTAACCATTGCGAAATAAATAAAATTTGTGATTTCTTTTGGTAAAACAAATCCAGGAGAAAACGAGTTATTTTGCGCTTTAAAAAGAATGCAATAACTTGGCAATATTCTTATGGAATTGGTATGTTATTTTAGTCTCAGAACAAGATTACAAATTTCCATAAAATTTTAAAGAGGCTTTTTACTAAATTTGGCAGAATCCGGCAAACTGGTAGAGGCGCTTGGCTGACGAGCCGTTTCTGTAGAAAAGCGTCAATTGCTACTTAAATGGTTGGAAATCGTATTTAAGCCAAAGATCACATTCAACTGAAAATATTTAAATGATTGAAAGACCAGATGTTTTTATGTAACAATATACATATGTATGTATGTATGTATGTGTATGTATTTGCATATGAGTATCATAGCCGATGGTATTGCAAATGTGAGCGAAGCGAGACAGAGAGAGCAAAAAAACGTGTCTTTTTGCGCAAAAAAGTTGCAAGTTTCACCCTCGAAGCGACGCTAATAAGTACATATTCATGTTAACAAGTACTTATGCAGCAATTGTGGAACTGCAGCCTTCTATGAATTGGTTGGACCAACACCAACCCAACGACAACAACCCAACGCTAACCCAACACCAACACCAGCACCATCCACTGTGCTGTGACGTGCAAAAATGAAAAGTATCTTAAATGCCGTTCTGCAGATGCACGCTCTGGGGCCGGTTGCATGGCATGTCGAGAGGTATACGAGTATATGTACATAGATATGTACGCCCGATATAGTGTAGCTCTCGATGTCTAGGCAGCCTCTGTGCCGACGACTTCAAATCGCAAAGAGCCGCCCATGAAAACCAACATGCTTTCGGCTACTTCCATGAACCTTTATGGGAAGAAAAGTTGACGAGCGCAAAACAAGTTGTTTACGGGTTTCAGACTGCAAGTATCTGTGTCTGCATGTATGTATGTATGTGTGTGTGTGTGTGTGTTTGTAAAACTTGTTTGGCCAAAACGCACGCATTTGCGATGCGGATGATATTTGCCGTACTAGTAGTACTTGTTGTTGTTGTTGCTGCTACTGAGGCTGAGGCTGCTGCTGCTGCTGCTGCGAATTGGCAGTTCGGGCGCTGCTCCTGCTTGGTGGCTCTCATCTGTGCACGCCAGTTGGGCCAAGAGCGGGCCAAGCTGCGGCTCCGTGGCTCTAACCAGACGAACAACTGTTGCGCATGCGCGCGCCCACACGGCTCTGCTGCCAGTTGTTGCTGATGTTGCTCTTTCTGCTGCTGTTGCTGGTATTTCTGCTGCTGCGGCGGCTGCTGCTGCTGCTGCCACCGCCGTGGTCGTGGCCTGGCCAACAAGTAGTTGCCGTTGCGCGAGCCAATTCAGTTCTGTAGCTTTCGTTTGGTTGGAATGGTCGTGCGCGCTCCGCAAAACGAACAGAGCGTCGACGATTCGTTACGTTACAATACTACGACTACGACTAAGACTACGACTACGACTACGTTTCCAGTTACCAGTAACCGCGTTCGCGTCCAAAACCGAGTCTGCGCACTTTTCGCAGTCGCAGTCGCTGGCGAACTCGAAGTCGCGCATTCGCATTCTCAGTCGAAGTGGAAGTCGGAGTCGCGCGATTTGTTGTTGTGAGGAGGACAAGTGTGAAGTAACCGCGCCTCTGGCTGGCTTGGCGTTTTTTTTTTATTTTTTGCTTGTTGTTGTTATATTGTTACTTTGTGCTTGTTGCTAAATACCAAAAGTCTCAAAAATTAAAAAAAAAAAAAAATAGAGAAGAAGAAGAAGAAGAGATAATAATAAAAGCAAGAAAGAAAGAGAGAGAGAGAGAGAGAGAGAGAGAGAAAAATAATAATCACTTGTGTGCAATTTGCATAAATTTGTTGTGGGATTGTTTTTGTGTGGCTCTGCAATGCAGATATGTCGAAGGCGCAGATAAAGTTGCAGCCAAACTGTTGAGAGAAGAAGCGAGGCGACAGGCAGCAACCAGCTTGGAAAGCTCATAAAAAATCAATATACATCCATACATACATACATACGTACACAGAAACCCATTGCAACCGAAAACCTGCCTTTTCACATACATACTACGTATGTATACCTGCCGACATAAATAATTTGCAATACAAAAAGGTGAATCGATAATTTGGATTGGGAAATTAGCGACGATTTGGAGAGTTGATCGCTTCATTGTGTGTGTATGTGTGTGGTGTTGTAACTTAAATAAAGAAATACCCATACCCATACCCATACCGATATCCAAAACCCAAACCCAAGCCCATTAAAAAAAACCAGTCAAAATATAAAGAAACCAATTACGAAACGCTCACACGAATCGGCAACAACAACAACAACAACAACAGCAACAAGAGCACACTGACAGGGAGGCAGGCGCACGCGCGCACACAGTACGTACATATACTACATACATACATATGTACATACATACATACATTGTATACAAACATACATACATACATGCTGTTCATCAATATACATTCACCACACATCCAGCAAAATCCATTCACATGACACACTGATATACAAGTATGTCTGCAGATATATACATACTATATATGATCTGCCATCGAATAGGCGTGCCGACTAACACATATGTATATATATCCTTTGTATCCTGTCCACTTCAAGGAACCAATCATGCTACAGCCGCGCTTAACACCAAGGAACATGTCGAGACACCGGCCCGCCCGCTGCCATACTCTAGCGCAATCCTCGATCTGCCGGAGCCTGAGTCTAATGGCGTTGATCGTAACGCTACTGGCGACGCCGCCATTTGGTGCAACACAATCACCCGGTAAGTATGGGGTTAATTGGGTGTGACCAATTTTGCGCTAATAGCTTGAATTAGTAGTTCAGTTCGAATGTACTCGGGATTAATTTAAGCCACATAGTATAGCCCAATCGCACGATCAAATATCAAACAGTTGCATTTGGAACCACAATCACGTTCAGCATTTTCGTGCTTGACACATTTCCACTGCACTCGTAGTCGATAAGTATGCAATGCTTTTGAAAATATCTGAAATATTACATCAAATGAGTGCCTCGGGATGACAATAATTACAGCTAAATGAATGGGAAAGTACAAATTGCTGACACTCACAACTTAAGTGGAAACTTGATGAACTCAATATTGAATAAGAGCTCACCAATTTATTAGGTATGCAGTAGTGTTTTCGGCATTTGTGTTATATCTTTTGGGCTATGAAGGGTGCAGCTGCCTGCTGTTCCAATAATATGATCCTTCAGTTTTGTTGTATTTTAATTATTTGTTTAACAAGTCGTTAAACACCCAAAGAAAAACAATCTAACCAAGCTACAATAATATCTAATAATTCGCAGCCCAGTGTAGTCAGAGACGTAAATAGTCATACACACAAGAGCTTAAAAATAACAAATCAACTAATAAAAAAGTTATTAGGGGAGTGGAAGATTTGTATCAATAATTTGTTTATTCAATTAGTTGAGAAAAAAGTGGAAATCGCTGGTCGCTAGAAGAACATTTATTAGCCAGTCCAGAAAGCCGTTTATGGTCAGAGATACTTCCTGAAATAGCTAAAAAGAGAAGCTTTTTAGAAAGAGTTCGATTGAGAGCCGGTAAAGTAGATCATTATAATTCAGGCTGAAAGCCCAAAAATTATAAAAGTGAGCCATGATTGCTGGACTTTAAATTTGTAAATCGTTTTTGTACGAGTAATTGGGAACATCCCTGACATTCTTCCTTTAATTAGCCTCATCAAAATTGAAAGTGTGCAGTAGAGGATTATCTAGAATTCATTGCAGTGCTTAATAAGTTCAGTTTTTCAAAGTCAAATTACTTTGCAATACTTCGTGATATATCAGTGCTCTATTTTTATTTGTTTTTGTTTGCCATAAATCGCCCCCATTTTAATTTAAGTTCATTAGGCATTCGAATCACACTTTTGCGCACTCTTTGAAGCGGCTTTTTGGCGAGCGAATTGCGCGAAACAAACGCTCATCAAAAAATTTAAGAAAGTTCACAGACCATTCATTCATTGGATATGCGAGTACCTTGGTTTAATTCTGTTTTTCAAAACATGCCCGTTTTTTCGATGTAATGCATGGATTCGTGGTTGTTGTTGTTTGTTGTGTTTGTTGTGTGTTTGTTTTTCTATTTCTGCGAGTATGTAGTAATAATCGAGGTCGCACTATCCAACACACGCACACACACACAAACACACAGACATACATACACCTCTACACCTAGCACAGCACACCTTGCGAAGTTGGCTAGCTGGGTATCTGACTGGCTGGGTGGCTGTCTGGCTGTCTGGCTGGCTTCCATTATTCATTGTTATTGTTAATATAACGTACCCATAAATTCCATCTTTTCCATTGTCTTGTCTGCAGGTTTCTCTTCCGCAGCGTTTAACGATGCAACGACAGAATAACTTGAATTACATACAAAGTAAATAGCTAAGCATATCAGTGTCTATATAGACACAAACGACTATATACTATTCGTACAATGTAGGTATATATATGTACATATAGCATGTATATTCTTGTATGTTGGTGTGTGAGCCTAACTAGTCTCTGTGCTAAATTTGTAGCCGCATAGAAAAGCTTGAACGGTTAGGTCCCAGGCGAAAGAAAGAAAGAGTATTGTGGCCCGTTTAGACTGATACGAGTACGAGTGCGAGTACAATTACGAGTTGTTATATATATATAGTATAGTCCCTAGAAGCTCTCAAAGAGTTCAAGCGGCACCGCCATCACTCAAACTGGAAAGGTCACGGCAAAATGTGAACGCTAGTCGCAATTTCTGGTTTCACAGACCTGACGGACGATTTGTGCACCTGACGTTTACTGGACAAACCGGCTCTACAGACACCATAGCCATAGCCATAGCCGTAGCCATCGCTTTAGCCATACATATTTTCAAAGAATTGCGTACACGTCTTGTGCACTAAATTGCTACAACTGTAATTAAAAAATCCTCTGCAATTTAAAAATGTTCGTGATGATGATGTGACGATGATGAAGATGATGATGTGACGATGAGATGATGTGACAAAGAGATGATGTGACGGAAAAACGTTTAGGCATTTGGCAATTGTGATGGAACCCTTTCAAAAGGCCCCTAAAAATTCGTAACGGCTCGATTCTGTTGTGCGGTTCCATTTCATCCATTATCTATTACTATTGGCAATAGACGGATTTCGAGCGAAGAGAAAGCTGGCTGACGGGCTAACTGGCACCTTTTAGCGAAATGTGAAAGAAGTAACAATTGGAAATAATAAACAACAGGTTCTTCATTCACTCAATTCATCAGTTGTGGTACACACGGTACGCATTGAATTGATAAAGAGCTCTAAGCTAAGAACCCCAATTCTCAGTTTGTTCGGTATTGAAGAACAATTCTTTTTATACATATATTTCTACGATATATATTGAATGCATCTATTGAGAGATATGCAGAGACCAGAAACTAGATTAACTGGAATTTACATATTGTAGCAATGCGAATTCTTGGCCAGAATGGAGACTGGTGTCTCCGTCTTTTAACTGCTGCAGAGAACGGCTCCATAAAAACATGTAACACTCGATGCCAATCTAAAGAAATGCGTTAATTCTCGTTAGAATAAATTGACTTGTTGTTATTGTTTGTTGTTCATCGAGTTGTTCAAGGAGCTGCCACAAAATTTGCTATGCGAGTATGTATGCATGTATGTATGTACATATATATGTATACTGTGTGTATATAGAAGGCTCTTTTTTGTAGCTGTTGGTTTTTTGTGTTTTCGCTGAAATGTAAATACCAGACAACATGTGTCACCAACAAGTTCCTCCATGCCCATTATGAAATATGTAGATTAACATAATTCACAATGTATTCAGAAACGCATGTGTGTGAATATATTAAAAATGTATAGTATATGTATACATACATATGTATATATAAATCTTGAAACTAAAAACCATAACCTGTGCTTAGGCCGATTGCCAAGTACGTTCCGCAACATTGTGGCTTGTGTGGTGCCGTTGCCGCTGCCGTTGCTGCCGCTGAACGTTGCTGGTGGCGGCGGGCGGATTGCTTCCTCATAACCAGATACAGATACAAATACAGACAATTGGAAAACAGTCATTGACTTGCCGTTTTATGCAGTCGCGCAGCTAACAGCTTCAGTGTCCGCATTTGCGTCCGTTTTACTGTTAAGACGTATGGCTGGTCTCTTGGTTGGCTAGTTGGTTGCTTGCTAGCCCGACTACACAAACAACAACAACAACAACAACAACATCAGCAACAACAACAGCTGCAGTTTCTGCATTCGGTGACGTGTTTGGTGACTGCTGCAGTCGCAGTTGCAGTCGCAGTTGAAGTCAGATTCGGAGTCGGAGTTAGAGTCGCAGCCAGCAATAAGAAGAATTGGACTCATGGCGCAAACAGCTTTCACAATGCAAAGAGGAAAAAAATTCACAGCAGCAGCAGCAGCAACAGCAACAACAACTCGTCATTATCATTTTACGAAGCAGAGAGACACCGACACCAAAGCAGAAGAATCAACAGATAATTTGGGTCATCAGGTGAAGATGACTTGCCGTTCTTCTTCTTGTAAAGGTGAATGCGCAAGTCGATGGCGTGTTTTTATGTCTACTATGTGTGTGTGTGTGTGTGTGCGTGTGTGAAACACATACACTCAAGAAATTAATTATTCAAAATTTAGGAAAAGTGACTGTAAATAACGAAAACAAAAACGATTATGCTACTTCTGAAAACAAAATCGAATACAAATCATTTACATAGAAAACAATAGATGCTTTATAGACCTTCTGAACTGACCCCATAACTGGGGAAATGCTCTCAAAATCATAATTAGACACAAAAGCATTTAAGTAAGCTGACGCCGTAAATGTAGAGCAACAATCGACCGACTCTCTTTTGAAAATGTTAGACAAAAATATTTGTAATAGCCCTGAATTGTTTATAAAATTAGGAGGAAAAAGATGATGAGAGATACAAATGATTTCTATTTCAATTTATAATAAAAATGCAAATAAAATGAATAAATGTTAAGCATCATGAAATCACAACCTAAGATCATATGAGTATAAAACCAATGGTCGCATTCACAAATCACTAATCAATGATAACTGATCTGTGGCTTTTGGAAACACTGTCCAGTTAGTATGGTTTGAATTGAAACAATCGCTGTTTAAAACTTATTTCAATCAATCGCTTTTTTTTTTTTCAAATAGTACTAACAAGTTGAGCCGATTTCAATAAATTACGCAATTTGAAACAAGAAGAAGAAAGAGGAAGAAAGGTGGCACGCTTTCGGACACAGAGCAGAATGACAGATTTGGGTCGTAATCGAGCATTTTGTTTCTTTGTGCATGCTTTAATAAATATTCACATGCACACACACACACACACATACATGGTACATATGTACGTATACCCATAAGTGTGTAGATTTGTATGTATGTGTAATCGTGTTTGCTGATGTGCTTCACAATGTGCCAATAATTGAGAGTCGAAAATAGAAATAAACAATTTGTCCAACTTTTGTCCACGAATTTGTTTTGGCCCGAGGCCGGACAAGGGCATTTTAATTTTTAATTTGTGCTTTTCTTTTTAATTTTAATTTCGGTTTCGCCTGTGCCCCACTATTGGTTAGCTGGCTGGATAGATTAGCTCTTCGCAGGGTTGTCGCTGTTGCTGATGATGTTGCCTTGCCTCTTTCTTTCCCTCTCTCCCTCCCTCACTCTTTCTCACACTATTACTGCTTGAAACGTTTTGTACCGTTTCGAAGTTTTCTAAAATTCGATTATGTAGTTGTATAAGGTATTGCGGATGCTGTTGATGTTGCTGTTGCTGTTGTTGTTGCCTTCATGGAGGTAGTTTCATTGTCGTTGATGTTGTTGTTGTTGTTGTTGGTGGTGCTGCTGCTGCTGCGAGTATTGTTGTGGCTTTGTTGCTGTTGTCTGCAAAGGGGCATGGGGCTGACATTGAAAACTTTCAAAAATACCTGTTGCTTTTATAGCCAACGATCGAAGACGTCACCAGCATGATCGTCTTGGCCGTCTTGGTCGGTCGTGGTCGTACTTTATGAAGAGAAGACGTCGACGTCTGGTCGTATCGGGCTGCTGTGATGGCGGTGGTGGTGGTGGTGGTGTTGGCGGTGGCGTTGGACGCTGTGGCGACGGCAGCGGTGGGCGCGCTTTGCTCTTTTGGGTCGCTGCAGAAAAAGTAAAATTTTTTCGTGGTGTGTTTGCCACTTTCTTTTCACTTGCCACAACCAGAGCCAGAGCCACCGACGATGGCGATGGCAATGGCGATGGAGATGACGATGCCGATGCCGATGGTGATGCTGTTGTGTCCGAGACAGACTGAAATCATTTATTTGCAGTAGGGGAAATTGCCGCTATCACAGGCTTGGAATGTTTACTCGGCTCGTTTCACCTATAACTCTACACACACACACACACACATGTGTATGTGTGTTTACGGCCCTCAGCCATGATAAATGCAGAAATATGCTGAGCAAGAGTTATTCACAAACATTTTTGGTCCATCGTGTGTTACTTGACTGCGCCCCCTTCCGTATCCCTACATGCATATAAAGTATGTATGTATGTATGTATATGTGTGTGTGTGTTTTTTGTTTATTAACAATAGCGCGCTTTCACTCTTTTTTGTTAATCATATTTCTGAGGCGCTCTAATATCAGTTTATTCAATTTCATTGAATGCTTTCCTATATGTTAAGCCATTTAGCCGGCTATAACCGATTACATACTCATATACACATGTTTGTATGTATGTATGTATGTATGCAAATAGCAATGTATATATGTATGTGGTTAGTTGGCTATATGCCACGATTCCGGATAGGAGGGAAACAACGTCTTCGTCTTCGCATTAAATACAACGAGTTCGAATTTTGATTTTGATTGGCTTTTAGTTCAAACCAGTTTGAAGCTGGCACCGATGAAATTTTGTCTGCTTTTATGATACGTTTATTTACTAAATATGTACTCGTATGTATGTGCATGCATATACATATAAGTATGTATGTATGTATTATTGGGCAAATAGATTGAATCATTCAACTTTTGAAATGCAAAGCGTGTGTGTTTATTTACATGATGAGGAAATGGGCACGCCTCAAGCGCTAACAATCTATTTAATTAGCCTAGTATTTATCATTAAATAATTTTCCATTAATATGTTTATGTGCATGTACGCTTTTCAGATGATCTGTATATAGTGCGACCGACGCCAGCCCTGCGCGTGGCTTCCGATGGTAAGATCTAAATAATATTCACCTCTTAAGTCATAACATGTACTATAAACATAAACATACACATACCACCTACTACCTACATACCTATCTACAACCCACCTACTATTTGTAATTGTAAATCTCAAGCGTTCTACACATGTCCGCGCTATATTTTACCTACATATTTATGTATCCTATGTATATGTTAATTGAATAAGTATATATACGTGGAAGCTCGTTCGATAAGAACCAACACAAAAGAAAAGAAGAAGTCGAATATATTTCCACAGAGGAGGATGATGTGTTAACGATGTTAACTATTGTATCAATATTGTAAATATCTAGTGTAAAGGACTCGTTTTACTCACTCTTTTTGTCAATTATTTTTTCTCTTTCTTTCTTTTTATGTAAATGATTTCACGAACTTTCTATGCTGTACATTCTGGACGTGCTGATCTAATAACTTTTACTCTTCCACTACTACCCACCTTTTGTGTACCATATGTTTGTTAATGTGCTGTAAATACCCGTACTACACTGATCTCTATCGTATCGTATCGTATCGTAAATTCTTTATGTATGTAAATCTCTCTGTATGTGTGTGCATGTATGTCGTATATGTCGTATTTCGCAAAAACATATATACAACTCAACTATAGACCTAACCACTGTGCTCTTGGTCAACAATGAGGCCGGTCGGGTGGGCGACAACCACGGGCGCTTCTTGTCTGTCCGCCCCGAGGTGGGCCTCTTGACCTCGACAGCGCGTACTTTTATACAGGAGGGCATCACCACGGAATATGCCACACAGGTTGTAGGCACTACCCTGGACAATGGACGCTTGTATGCTCAGTATCTAAAGAAGAGTTCTCGCGTACTTTTTGAGAACGGTCATGTGGCACCCTCCGTAGTCACCAGCTGGGTGGGCGAGGGTGGACAAACACGCTCCTATCTGCAAAGCCACAATGATCTATTCAATGCAGATGATGCCGATTGGCAAGACCTAGACGATCGACTGGGCGTTTTCGTTGGCAATACTGACTTCGTTAGGGCCAAGGCCGGCAGTGCCAGTTCCCAAGCGCTTCCTTTGGCAGCAAATAACCCTGGAGAAACAGCTGCTTCCTACTCAGTCTCAACTTCGTCATCGTCGGCCAAACAAGTGCCGGTTGTTCAATTGGTGGGCCGTTCAGGACATATAGAGGAAAATGCCCGCAAATTGGCTGCCCAAAAAGTTTTGCCGATTGGCGATTTGCCCACCTATACGGTAAAGAATCATTTCGAGCCTAGTGGCTACACTTCGAATGGCGATATAGGCGTGGTTGTGGAGCAGCAAGTCAGCTCATCTGTTTCCAGTCCTGACGACAAGGACGATGGACGCTCACCAAAGGTTTACTATCAGCAGCTGATGACGGAACGCAATGACTTAAAGCCGGGTGCAGCAGCCACCTTTAAGGCCCAGTCGTTGCCAAAAAGAGTGTTGTCAACAGTTACCTATTATGGCTTTGCTGACTTCACGACCGTGGTGGGGGACAGTGTTATAGTCTTTTCACCCAGCACCGCTCAGCCCAGTGGCAATTTTGGCCACGTCACCTCCATTAAAGGCAAAGCAACCCTGAGTGCTAACCACGCTCAAAACGTGCCCCAAGCAAGCGTGGAAAGTTCGCAGCCTCAGGCGACCATTGAAGCCACTAAAATCGTAGATGAAATCCAAATCGTGCCCACAAAAGTAAACTCGTTGGCAGTTGGTGTTGTCACAACAAGTGCAATCAATGACAGCACCGACATAAAGGATGAAAATGATGACACTACACCAGCAATAGACGTGTCCGAATCAACGCCGGAGCTTACCACACCCACGACTATTACTACGCCCACAACCCCTACCTCTCCAAAAGAAGAAGTTCCACAGAAGGTGGCCGAAGATGCCAGCACAATTAAAGTAAAGCCAATGTTCTCCCTGCCCACAGATCAAGAGATACTCGAGATCTATGCCTCCCTGTCCAAGGCACAAGCTCAGACTGAAGTCACAAAAGACAGCACTTCGTCTAGTGTGTCTGTCCAGAATGTGGAGGCAGTAACAGCTCAGATTAAGGCTGAAACTACTCAATCAAACTTACAAGTCCATGGTGGAGCAACAACTATATTTTTTGAGGACGATCCATTTGCCAACTTCGTAGAGCCAACCACAACAACTTCAGCTACAATACTGACAACAGCAACCACTACCACAGCCGAAACGCCGTCGGTAAAAAGTGTTACACCTGAAACTTCCACAGAAGAGGCAACAACCGTTGCCAATGAGCCGGATGTATCTACAACTGTGGAGGACAGTGAAGAAGAAACCACCACTGCGAAAGCACCTGCTGCAGATCAGGGCATAGTTACCGAGAAGATTGTTACCGTCACTGATGCGCCCGATGTCGTTGTAAAGGAAATTAGTCCAAATGAGACGGACACGTCTGCCCTCGCCGGTTGCTCGACGACCAAGCAAGTGTTCCTGACTCAACTTCCGAAAACTCTGACCATTTTAAACACACAAATATTACGTCCTGATGGCGATAGCAATGAAGAAGAAACGTCTATAGAGACAAGCGTACTCTCTACATATGAAATACTGGAAACCACTAAATATTATTGCATTCAGGCTACACAAGTTTTAGAGGAAGCTCAACGAACCGATTTACCTCAGCTAGAGACTCCAGTAGACAAAGATGTGAAGCATGCGGTTACTGAAGCCACGTTAACATCCACGGAGTCGACAAGCGAAGAGGACACCACAACGGTGACTACGGAGGCACAATCACAAGAAGAGATGGCAACCACTGAGGTCTCTGAGCATGATACATCGAGCACCATGAAAGATGATGAGGGTAGCGAATATGACAATGAAGACTATGAAGTGGAAAATGATTCCGACGAGGTCGATTTGATTTATAAAACACTCTACACAACCTACACATACTTGACAACATTCTTCCAAGGCGACTCCTCGACTGTATCTAGCCACACGGAGATTGTCACAAATGTAATTACATCAACAGTTGGCAACGAGCAAATAGACGTGAAGCCCACTGATATAGTGGCTCGTATTGGAGAGAATGAGATATCTGCCACACAAACTGTGCAGTCCGATATCAAGCCCACAGTTTCCAAATACATGATACCCGATGAACTCTCCAGCCGGTTGCACGACGATGAAACGAATACATCTGAAGAGCAAGAGCAAACCATATCGAATGATGTCACCCAAAGAACCAGTTACCTTGATGACACCATATACACAAAAACCTTTTTCACCACTTACACCTACTTCACAACGATTTTCGCAGAAGGCGAAACCGAAATAATGTCACGCACTGAAGTCTTTACGAACTTTATAACGAAAACTGAGCCCGTATCCGCTTCATCAAACGACTTTAGAACAGCCACTCCAACGGACACAGTCAATGCTGTCTTGACACAGGAGCAAAAAAGTGAAAAGCTTACGTTGTCTAGCCAAGAACAAGCTATAACAAATGCCTTCAAAAACGTCACCGGCCGTGCGCAAGACGACAATGAAGATGAGCACGTCACCCTAGTCACCGACGTCAGATCCAGCAGCTCCAATGGAGATCAGCAGCTAATAAGCAAACACAATGAGCCGATTGACGATCAGGTTAGTTCTGAGAGCAACACCGAGGAGATAATACCATCAGCTACTTTGCTGCTTCAGACTAGCTTCACAACATTTACCTTCTACACCACGATGTATGTTGGCGACAATACGAATGTTATCAGTCGTCTGGAAACTGTGACAAATGTGGCCACAGAGACACTGCAGCCAACGCGAATGATTGCGACCGAAGACGCCACTTTGCCGATCACATACTTCACTACGTTTACGTACTGGACGAAGCTGGCGAAAAATGGAGAGATCACCACGATAAGTAGGGAAGAAACCATTTCAAATGTGATCGAGCCGACAAATATTGCGGCAAGTTCCACCAATGTCCCACAAACTATTGAAGCTTCAGCCGTTCCGGCACAAATAAATGATGGCAATGCCAATAGTGATCAAGAGACCGAGGCCGCAGTTATAAAACCTACAGCCACTGTACCTGAATTAACAACTTATTATACGACGTACACCTATTATACCACCTCATATGATGCCAATAAGACTATTACAGACTCACGTTTCGAGACCATTACTAATGTGGTCACCCCAACGGCCGATCTCGCTCCAATAGATATAGCTTCAGCTGCCTCAAAAGAGGCCGGTGACACCGGCAGCAGTGGCAGTACCAGCTCAAATGCTCAGAGCGTAATTAATACCTCGAAGCTGCTATTGTATGACTACAAGCACATCATTGATGCGGATGGAGTGAGCACACTGTATTTTACAACCCAAATCCATTCGACAGTCAACGAGGAAGGCAATGGCATAGAAATCACGAGTAGTACCTCCAGTTTGTACATCGATGAGACGAAGAAAGCAAATATACCCACACCTCCTCCCACTGATTCGCCTGACGATGGCTCCAGTTCCAGACAATATAAGACGGGTCTGGTGCGACTCATTGAGGGTACACGCATTGGCAATAGCACAACAACGTTGTACCAATCGAAGGTTATCGGCACAGTTATTGACAACCGATATGCACAAATCATAGAAAGTACTTCTAGTTTCCTCTTCGAGAAAACAACTACTCCCGAAGAGGTTCAAGTTTCGGCAACAATTTCGCCCACTGCGACTGACAACACTATTGTGCCCACACAGCAGGTGAGCCTGGCTGTGACGCCAGCGGTGGTTGAGGGCAGCATAAGCGATGGTGTTTCTCATGAAGAGTCAGAGGGCACTACTGAAGCAGATCCGGATGCCGACGATGATGGCAAAAACAAAGCCAAGTTGCCATTCCAAACAAAGAAACGCACCTTTGCACCCGTCATAAGACCATTTGCATCCCGAAATCGGCCAACCTTTGCACCCAAACAAAAGACATTAAGTGCCAGCAGTGCCACCATTATAACCAGATCTGATATAACACCAACGATCACAGCAACGCCAGCACTGAAAACAGTTGGCCGCTACGCTAGCTCAAGAAAGGGCGCTACCTCAAACATACCAATTGGATTGAGTGAAAGCTCGAGCTCAAGACGTACGTTTGGTCGACCCATTAAGTCATCAATCGGAGGCAATCAACCTGCCGGCGGACTGCAGTCTAGCTCTGGTTTTGCACCCTCACGCAGTCGATTTGCTTCATCATCTCGTGCAGCCCCAGTGTCTAGCTCCAGGCGCATCAATCCATCTTTCCGACCGTCCTCTGGCTTGCCTTTTAGATCCGGGTTCCCAAGCATAAATTTGCCCAATGCCAGACCACGTATAAGGCCAACTGCATCTAGTGGTGCCCTGCCAGCTGACAGTGCGACGGCAACCGCACAATCGACCGCTGATAGCAGTGCCGAAGAGGAAAGCTCCACTCAAGATCAGACAAATGATGAGGAGGAGACTACCACTGAAAACTCACGTCGTAATCAAAATCCCTTGCTACGGTTCCGGCGTCCCCTGAATAGACCAAGCGGATTTACGCCCATTCCACGTCCCAACGCTAATAGTGCTGTCACAATTTCTCCAAGACGAAACCCGCTGTCAGGTCGCGTGAAGTCTCCATCCACTACGACTACCACAACAACAACGGCAAGGCCACGTCCTCTTAGTTTCCAACGGCCCACCATTTCCAGTCTTCAAGCACGCACCAGGCCGCAAAGCAATTTGTTCCCGCCGCGTGGTCTCTTCCAACAACAACAAAAGTCCCAAGCAACAGATAACGCAGAAATAGGCCAGAGTGAAGGTGAATCAGAAAACGATTCCGAATATGACGATGATGAGGGAGACGATGAGAGTGAAACCAACGCAAACCGCCGTAGGCGTCAATCAAACAAGTCAGCAAACCACTCGCGTGTGCGTCGACAAGCCGAACCTTTAAATAGAAGTCGCTTTCGCTTTCGTCGGCCCAAGACAGCTTCAACAACAACCGTCGAAGAGCCCAAAAGTAATGAGGAGATAAATGAGACCACACCAGCGCCGCGAGCAAAAATTAATTCACGCTTCGGCTCTAGATACCAGTCGCCGCATAGAGAATCCACAACAGCAACAACTACATCAACTCACAGATCAATACGTCCCACCAGGCCCACCTCAAATCGTACACAATTCACACTGAGAGAAAAGGATACTACGCCGAAGGGCCTTACACGGCCGGGCACCACATCGAATTTTCGCAGGCAACAGCCATCAACCAGCTCATCCTTAAGGCGTCCCGGGGCAACTACCTCCAGCAATCGTCGTCTGAAGAGCTATTCAAATCATAATACGAACAACAACGTTGACAATTCGGGTCGCACCTCGAGTGGCTCGCGCACACGCAACGGTAATTTGAGTGGTTCGACGAGAGGCCGGGGCTCAGTGCGAAGCAGAAATCGTAATGAATACAATTCAGATCAACAATCCACAGAGTTGGGCAGTGTGACCATTACTGTGACTCACGTCATACCAGCCGAGGTCACTGTGCCTGTTGTCAATGGCCAGATAACCGAATATAAAAACATTGTGACTGGCAAGACCAGCACTGAGGTGTTGGGACCCCATCAGTACACAAATAGTGTGGGCAACAACGGGCAGACCTCTTTATATCTTACGCGAGAGGATTCAACTGTTAACTTTGCTGGCGCCACAGAAATCACACGTTATCTGCTGCACGATTCAGCCACCACAACGATTACATTTACACCAACGACCATACGTGGTCGCAAGACCTCTTTCTCCCACGTTCTTCCCTCCACAGTGTATTCGGTCGAGAATGTCGTTTCCACCGTACAGCCACAAATTTCGGCCAACGCTCCGCTCGCCAATATTCTGCTCTCTCAGCTGCTATTGGGCAACATCAATCTGCCCTCCAACCCGTTGCTCGGTGCGCTCGGTGGACCCGCAGGTGCAGCCGCAGCTCTTACGCAGCAGGGTTCATTGCCCGTTGCTCCCACGGCCATTCAAAATACGCCAGTTACCGAGTATCGCACGCATACCTCGACATATGTGACAACCATATTTGACGGCAAGTCGACGGTGCTGCCAGTGACATTCCAAGGAAAGAAAATTCTGACCACCGTCTATGACACAACCGCCCAGACCATAACAGCGACGGAATTTGTGACCGATACCATTGTGACCACGCCCACACAGATGCAGCAACTGCAACTGCAGTCCGCTGGCCAAGTGGCACAAGTCAATAGTCTTTTGCTGCAGCAGTTACTCCTGCAGCAGCAACAGCCTCTGTTAGAGCAGCCACTACAGGCCATAACCCACACGGCCGCACCCAATTTATTTTTGACTGAAAACCTGCAGGACCTAGATGCCCACAGTGCCAAGGCGGCGGGCCTTGGTGCCCATGAGAATATCGATGATATTGACGGTCTGGTTCCAATCGTGGAAGACACACAGTCCACAAAGAGCAACCGCAAGAAGAATCGAAAGTCTCACAAGAGCCATAAGCGGAATAAGCAGCAGGATGCACGGTTGCCGGGTGAAGATAGCACTGTCATAACTCTATACGTATCCGGCCGGACTCCAGGCGAATTTAGCACAATTCTCTCGACCGTCCAGAATGGATATGATCATTCGGCTTCGCTACACAAAAGACAAGCGTACGCTCAAATACAGCAGACCACAGTCATGGATAGTCCAGAGGACTTATATATGTCCGAGGGTAGTGAACTGGTTCAGTTGTATTTGCGTCCCGAGGAGACGGACGAGAGTCGAACGAATGGCATCAAAGAAATAGCAGACGAGCTGGAGAAGAATGCGCTTGTGCTCGACTCGAGCGAGTCCAAAGCACAAACCGTGTCTTTGGAGAGTATTGTGGGGGATGTGGGACTGTGGTATGCCAAGGCAACGAGCCAAGCGCAGGTGGTGGCTCCAACTGAGGAGGCAGTCGCCGCAACATCGGAAAGCAAGAACACACTGTATTTTTTAGTATAACTGACCTCACTGAGTTGTCCCCGCTGCAGTTGCAGGTCATAAATGTCTGTCAATCTACACTCTGTCCACAAAGTTTCAACTCCACTTCTCCGGGGAACTCAAGCAATTCAAATCGTAGAGCAAAGCGTGACACATCCGATACCGACGCGATTGTTACAAATGCGACCACGACTGTGAGCATGCGCCGCTTCAGGAAAGTACTGGTGCGGCGGAAGCCCCTGGAAGATGCCCCATCACTAGTCAATAATAAAAACAGCGACAGTCTTCTGCCACAGCCGCAGATTTCGCAACCAAAGAGACACCGTGTTGTAATATTCAAGCATAGAATTTCAACTAAAAACCAAACAGAATTGCCTACAGCTATAGCCATAGCACCAACACCATCGCTGCAACTTCAATCGGAATCTGTAAGTTCCACATCGGATAGTTTGACGAATGTGCCAATCGAATCGAATTCATCGAACACGAGCACTTCGAATAAATCAAAGGCCAGGCCCACATCAGCAAATAAAGTTCGCAAGAATCGGCGCAGGCGACCAAAAACTCGAGAGCGAGAGCCAAGAAAATTCAAAACCGACTCGGTTCGCCCAACAATGACTTCCGAGCCCATAGTCGAAACAGACACCATCTACAAGACGTCGGAACTAACTACCACAGCCACAGAGCTGCTAACGCGCACCTACACCTATGTCGTAGATCGCGTCCACGACAATCAGCACGAAATACAATCCTACTCGACATTTACCAGGGTGAGCACCCGCACTGTGCCCCAAACTCTGACCATCACGTCCACGTCCACTCAGCTCAGAACGATCACAATTGGCAGTACGCAGCCTCCGACTGGCTAGGCAGAGCCAGCTGAGCTTAAATACAAGTATGTCTCGTTTCCACAGATCGAAACCAGTTTGGCCCAGCTGCCCCGTTTCTGGGCATAAAGACCCATCGATCTAATCTACAAATGTACCCCCTATATATTTTGGAGTCTACTTGTATGTATCTTAGGGGCGCCAAGAACGATTTCATTCTAGACAGTACGAATATACATACTCACATGCACAACATGTTTTCCAATATGGGTTAAGCTATTTATTTCTAAGCCACAATTATAAATTATACCTGAAACTGAATGCCACAACCAAACAAATTGTATCGTGTGTGTGCACATCTACAAGTAAAAGTAAACATAAATACAAGTAAATATGTGTGCATACACATACATACTCGTATGTACTATACATGAATATATACATACATATATTGTTAAAACGGAGCACAAATCCGGGCAAATACTCGTAAACGACCCTTCGTTAGGCCCCCGCTGTCGCGTTCAGTTATTGGGAGCTCTGTCCAGAACTGATCCCGGCGCACTTTTGGACCAGTATCTGACTCCATTCCGACGATGTCATCCGTATGTGGGAAATCAAGTTACGCCAAACCGAAGCCGGGACGTTTTGTTTTGGCAATGCGATCCAATTCTACTTGTAGTATGTAACTGTTCATTTAAAATCTAAGGACCGTATAATTTCACTTGTTTTCCCGTAACTGTTACTGTAACCTCTTTTTCCATCTACTTCTAATTCTTTGTTTCCATTTTTGTTTGTTTCTGCTAATTATAATACTTATAAATAAATAAATCAAAAACAATATACATACTATATACACATATACTCGTATATGTATTAATTTTTTTCGGATTGCAATATCAAATACCTATGTATATACTTTAAAATGGGCTTACTAATATTATGTACAATATACATTTATATATATTTTACAAATATTTACATATTACTGTTTACGATAGAAATCAAAAAACACTCGAGCTAAATTAATTATACACGTTTGATTAATTTCTCTCGTTATGTATGTACAATTCTCCTGATAATAAACGTTTTCTCGATTAAACCATAAACAAAACTCTTCATGTATGTATATTTTATTTTGGGGGAGTGGGAATTTTCGATTATGAGTAAGCGTCCCAGAAACCTTTCAGACTTGATAACGCGAGTCCTTCTGACCTAACGAGTTTAAAGTGTAAAGATCGACATACATGTATAGGATAGCGAGGCTGTATATTCGTTGGTATTGGATCTGTAAACTATCTTTTGTATATATCGCTATTCAAACATATGTTAAAGGAGGAAGGCATTCGGGTCAGTGCGCAATTCTCTTAATGCCTATAATGCAAACTCTTTGTAATCAATGCAGGCAATAATAAAAGACACGTTAAACACGACACAACACACACAAAAAGCGTACCCCTCGACAATAGGTACCGCCCTTTATCATTGCGTACTTCAATCAGGGAAATGCGCATGGTTGCTGACGATCAGTTAGAGATTGGGTCCCCGCTCTCCAACAAGAGTCTGGACGAGGCTAGGTACCATCTGGCAACGCATGTCATGTCAAATGGAGTCGAGCTGATAATCGCCAGTGATAAGCTCAAGCACGGTGAAAAGCAGAGCACATTGCCAACCAGACCCAACCCACATGCCATAGTGCCGACCCAGAGTCACAAGCCAGTAACGCTGGCCCCGAGCACGCTGAAGAATCATATGATCCTGGCGCTGCCATCCGCCAAACAGGTAAATGGCTCCACCATACACATCGCTTAGCCCGTATAGAACCATATTTCCAATTCGGCATTATTTAGGAGAACTTTACGATCCCAATCAATGCCAATCAGTTTATTACCAAAACATGCCTCACCACCTACACATATCGCACGACATACCTTGAGAATGGAAGCACGACAGTAGAGAGCAGGGAGAAGGTAATATCGAATATAGCTACAGAGGAGCGTGACTATTTTCGAGCTAGCACTGAGTTTCCACTGGGCGTTACACTATCCAGGGTGAGTATGATTATACGAAATTAGAGTGGCGATCCATTAAAACTATTTGTAACCATTCTTACCGCTTCTTCGTTTGAATTAGACCCCCGAACTAGTTGTAGGAGTTTTTCCAACCACCTACCGCTACTACAACACCTTGATCGACAATGAACAGCCTCTGGTTATCACCTCAAGTTATACCGTGGTGAACACGGTTACGGGTCCAGATGATTACATTTCTTTTTTGCAGCCCTCAGAAGAGGCAACACCAACCCAAGACACCAATACCTACTATAGTCGAGTCACCCTTACCCGAACAATGCTCGAGTCTGAATCAGAGAAAATTGTAACGACCGAAAACCTCCTGACTCAGGTGGTAGTTACAGAATCGCTGCCCGCTCGTAGCACATCCGTTTTAAAATCTCTTTATGCCTTTGACACCGACGAAACGCATACACTAGCATTGGGGGATAAGGCGGGAGCACCCCATGTTGCTGCTTCCAAAACCGAAGAGCTAAACGATGTCCACATTTATGCCACGAAAACTTTTCTGACCACATTCACGTACTTCACCACGACATTGGCCAAAGACACTGGGAGTACCACAAAGGGACCTGTGGAGGGCGTAAACGGATTTTCCACAATAGTGCCCCAGTCCGTGGCCACAGGAACAAACTATCACACAAGAGTAATCGAGAATGTTGTCACTGACACTGTGCCCAGTTCGCTGCTACGACCGGAACTTGTTTCCAAGTTCCACACGGAGCTAATGCAGAAGAAAGGAAAGCATCGTCCCAAAGTTATTGTCACCATGGCCACATTGCTGGGCGGCGAGACTCTAGAGGTAACTGCCGTCAACATATTAAAACCAACAAAGGTGGAAACAGCAAATGTCCAACAAAAGACAACGACCTACAAGCCGAAGCCCAATGCGGAACTAAACACAAGCTTTGGTTCTACGGCAGCATCAGTTACACAAAATGAATCAACAAAAAATGTAATAACCCAAAAGTCCAAGTCTCGAAATGCCATTAGACCAAGTTTGGCAACAAAGTACTCCCTAAAGGCTCATAGCACGGAGGCTTACACCCCTCTACCTGAGGCTCAGAGCTCAGAGGCAGCCTCAGGGGATCTGCACTTTGCGGAATCGGAAAACAAAGATGTTTTTGTTGTACCGCCGTCATCATCACAACCCGAAACAAACACAGGTCCCAGCGGTTCCGTGTCGGTTCTTTCACCCGTAGATCAATTAATTGGCTCATTTAATTTCCAACGTCTGCGACCTGTGTTTAATGCCATGGCAGACTTGCTGCAGAAAAATCTAGTGGCTAAGCGTCCAGGCCCGCCGTCAACATTGCAACCCCAGCCCGAAGCTCTGCACAGGCCCATTCCTGAGAAAGAGACTAAAAGCATACCCAAAAACATGACCTCCAATGCCGAGAGACCCATTTACATACCAGTACAGGGCGGCGACCAAAACTCGCAATTGTATTACGCTAACTTTTCTAGTCTAAGCGATGAAGATAGCACTGCCAACAAATTGATGGCACATAGCCTTCACATACAACCTCCGGAGCTCGAGTTCCCCGAGCTTGTTAGCGAAGACAACTGGCTGCTAGAGCCCCAAAAGAACGTCTCCTATCGACAGTCCATCGGATCTCTGACAAGCTATAAGACTTCACTGCTCAACAATGGCATTCCTATACGCCCGGGCGAGATAATAACAGCCAATGCTGATGTTATCATTGGCACGCCAAATGGAATTCAATTCTCATTAGCTCCAGCCAATGGACCCCAGAATTATAATGCCGGAGCACCAGAATCACCGAGTCAATCGAGCCAGCCACAGTCCCAACCCCAGAACCAGAATCAGGTCCAACCGCAAAGCGCCACATATCATCAAAACGTTCAGCCATTCAAGAAAAAAACTTGGCTACCCAATGTGTCGCCTCCACGTGTCATACCCCTTAATCCGGGCTATGTCGGTCCAGTGCCTTCGAACAGACCCCTTCTCGAGAACTACGATAATATATTGAAGCCTCCTCCAATGCTGCAGCCCTATCAGCAAATGAGTGGGGCGTCTTCAAAGCATTTACTGCGAGCACCCCCAGCGCCCCAAGCAGCTCATCTCAAGCCGATTTATGACAATCCACACAACATACGCAGCTACAATAGCCATCACTATAACTCGCCGCAAATAATTAACTTGAACTCGGAGCTAAATAATAACGAAATCATAGAAATAAAGCGCATTCCCGAAATATTTAGCACCAAATTGCCGGCAGTCACTCAAACGCATATTTATGCAAGCAGCTACTATATACAGCCTCAGCATCAGCATCAGCCTCAACATCAGCCTCAGCTGCAGCTGCAGCTACAGCATCAGCCTCTGGCACAACCACAGCAACAGCAACAGCCACATCTACATCCACACCCACAGCTGCAGTATCAAGCACAACAACAGCCCATATACCAACTGAGGCCGACTGTAACATATGGATCCGGAGCCGGAGCCGGATCCGTATCACCAGCCTACTCCGCACACCAGCATATAAACCTCAAGACCGATGTCCTCAGCCACACAGTCAAGATGCATGTGCCACCACTAACGTTTAAGAAAGAGACCGATGATTTTCCGCACGCCACCGCAGTGAAAGGACAAATCGCACCACAGCCCATGCCCATGCCGCTGGTGAAAATACCGCTGAACGAGGCTCATGTGCAGGTGCGCTTGACGCCGCAAAATACCGGTTTGGGCTTGGCGCTGGTGACACAAGATTCCAATGCGAATATAATTAGAGAATCGAGTGCATTCCCAACCGCGAGTATATTCAAGCAGCGCAATCAAAATGTTATTCATGCGAATCCACACATACCGGTGATCAGCCCTGATCGTTCGGCGGCCTTCGACATTAATTATCGGCCCAGCAGCACTGCCAGTATGCAGGCCATTAGTCAAAATATACCCCAATCATCTGCTAATAACATATTTACACAACATCTGCTGATACAAAC